TTTCATAATTGCTTGTTTCACACTTGGCATTTGAACTTCAGGGAGGGGAGAGAAGATATAAGCTTGAACAAACATAAAGCTTCACTAAGGCTTGAGTCAGGAAATGAAAGGTTTCAGTAACAGGAAATAAGAAAGATAAAGAAACAGAAGAATCTGGAAGTTAAGAAACTTTGAAAAAGAAAAAGTCTCGTGAAAATTGGGAAGTGCTACTCTTAAGACAGAAACCACCTGATGAAGGGCAGTTGATAACAGCACTGATAAAGTAAAACTGCTACTTCCATTTGGAGGGAAAAAAAATCATTCTCTGGATGTCTTAGAATAGGAAGGGCATTCTAAGGCATAGTTCAGGGCCAGTGCCCTCTGTGCCTCCTGGCTGACTAGGGACCTTGCCATCCAGAGCAGGAAGCAACCATATATGCCCCCTCCCCATCTCATTAACCAAACTTACCTTTATCTCATTGGTTATGAAGTGATCTCGGACTATCATGGGTTAATTTAGTTAATTGAATCTATTCTAATTTGTTAATTGGCTCATATGTCAGCTATCTGAGAAAATTATACATTAATAGCCACTTCCTGGCTGTTTGACAACTACTGAGACATTTACTATCTCTGGGCCTTCATTTCCTTACTTTAATTAAAATAAAGGGGGTAGACTTAATATGTGTAAGGAAGGGGTTATATTTGAGTTGTACCTGGGAAAGAAAATGGGAGCGGAGGGCTCCAGGGTGCCATTTATAAGGCAAGGTAGGAGAGGAGGAAGAGTGTTAAAAGGAAATGAATGTTTAGCGGCAAAATTGCCTGATAGACTCCAAGCTGATCATAATTATTGCTGCATCCTCAAGGGATAAGGAAGAGTCATGCAAAATGTCCCCAAGAGGCTTGGACTTCCTATTATGTTTATTAGTCATCTTGATGAAAATGGAAAGTCTGCATTGATTAAAATCACTAATGATCCTAAACTGAATAGAGGAGTAAATTCCAGAAAGAATGAATTTATAAGGTAAGTACTAATATTAATCAGGTCATCTTCATGAAATGGGTGGCAGTAAATGAAATGGGATTTGCCATAATAATGGCAGTGAGGTACACCTGGGGGGAAACTATAATGAGCCCAGACCCTAACTAGGAAGCTGTTATTTAGGAAATAATAATGGTGAGAGAGCTCTGAAGGGGAGAATGAATAATAAATTTAAAACAAGCTTACAATAAACTCTCATGATCAATCGTAACTTTATTCTCAGCACTTTTGGGGCACAGTTGGAAGCAACTGGAGCATGTGGCACTCACATTTTACAGGTGAGGAAACTGAGGCCCAGAGAGGTTGTGTGCCAGGCTAGATCTAGCTGGCAATTCCCTGTCATTCTGGTCACTACTCTATCCCCTGCAGTAGTGTCAGAAGATCATCACTTCCTAGGATGACCTAAACTTAGCCTCAGACTCCTTTTCAACACTACTATAAGTGGTTTCTGATAATTGGGCTCAGAAAATACTCTCTTTTCCCATCTCCAAATTGGGTCACAGAGTTAGATATTAGCAGAGCTGTGGCTAAAACCTAGATCTCTTGATGCATAATGTTTCTTTCTCAACTTGTAAGTTCTAACTTTACAGTCAACTGACTCTAACTTCAAAAGTCAAGTACTAAGAGAGCATAATGACTCCTTAGCCAGGATTCTGACCTTGATGCCCAGCATGTTGGTTTGAGGGCCCTTGAGCAGCATTTTTTTTTTTTTTGAGCAGCTTTTTAAAAATCTCTGAAGCCATGTATATAGTAATGTTACAAAGATACTTAGAAATATCAGTAGGGGCTAATGAATTTTATTTACTTGAGAAATAATGTAAAACATTTTTTAAAAGGAATCCATCAAATGGAAGTAACAAAAATTAGGCTTCTACCATAGACATTTGACAAAGTTAATAATCTTGTTAAAAATTCCCTGAGACTGATGAATGTTTCTTCTATTATTTTTCCCTTTTGGAACCCAGAGTGATTTTTTTCTGTGCAAACTAAGCAGCTTTGAGGAAGGGCCTCTGTGTGCATAGTCGATTTTGTAAGTGTTAGGGCATCATCCTGGGGAGGAGAGGAAGGTGGGGAAGATTCAGCAGAATTATGAAGTAGGTGAATTTGGCCCATTCTCAGTTCCTTTTACCCTACTTTTGGTTCCTTCAGGAAGACTCTATACTGCTCCTGTCAGTCCCCCTGTGTGATGTCAGGGCCATCCCATAAGGCTGTGTTGGTTGTGCATTGCACAATAAGAGGGGGTGCTATTATCCTGTGAGAAATCAGCAATGACCTCCCTGCAGACTTCATTTCTCAGGCCTCTCATCATTCCCCATCTTTGATGGAAATTTACCTGATAATGTATCAGATCTGACATACCCCCATAGGCTAATGGTTCATTGACTAAGAAGTTCTTGAAGATTTACCCAAAGCCTAAGTAAATGAATTATATCATGGAAAATTCTAACATGTGCCTGAAAGAAATCTCTCCTTAACTATATGTTGTGGTTTGTGTCCAGATGTCTTCCCAAAGCCTCATGGGGTCATAGGTGGAGTTTTTCAGAAGTTGAATCCAGAGTGTGTGATGCTGGAATAAAGTTCATGATGGTGGGATCAAGGATCCATTATTACTAAGTTAGTCCACTGATTGGTTTGGCATAGTTCTGAGTGTGGATAATGGGAAGGGTCACTCTGGGAGTGAGTGCTACCCCCACCCCAATGGTAGAATATAAGGCACAGAAAGAGGACAGCTTGCTGTCGCTTGCTGCTACTTTGATACTTCACTGCTTTGCTGCCTTCTGCCTGCCATAAATTGTTTCTTCTCTGCAACGCCCATCTGCCATGCAACCCTGCCTTGGAGCCAGCTAACTATGGACTAAAACCTCTACAAACTGTGAGCTACAAGCAAACTTTTCTCCTTTAACTTTGAGTGTTGAGTATTTTGTCTCAGCAACAAGAAAATGTAACTAAGATAATTTATTCTTCAAATAGTCATGAAAAACCCCATAAATTAATGAGAGCTGATGTGCCCAGCTGTAATCACAAGGTTAGCTATCAGGGATCTCTTGAATAAGTCTTTAATTTGCTCAGAACCTTGAAGCTTGAAGGATCCTATCACACCATGCAAAGTGCCAAGAGATTAGGTACCAGTGGCAGAAAACCTAGGGCTGAGTCCCATCTCTGGCACTTGTTGGCCATGCAGTTATACAAATTATCTAAACTTTCCAAGCCAATTTCCTCATCTGCAAAATAGGTTTGTCGATAGAATTAACTCAGAAAATGCATGAGAATGATCACAATTCTTGGAAATAACTACCCACACCTGTGATCTGCTATCTTTGTTCTATTTCACAGTAACATAGGCTGGAGTTTCCTCCTTTATCCTGGAAATGAAAGCTGGAAGAGAGAAATGATTTGTCCAGGAATATACCATTAATATGTGCCAATGGTGTACATTAAGCCTGAGATTTTCATGTAAGACTTTAGTGTTCTTTCCACCTCTCTGCTCTTATGGACTTAGTGAATCATTTGACCTCATATGTCTACATATCTAGGCTGCATGGTTATGGCATACACACAAGAAACTTTATTTGTTTCTGTAACTGTTTCCTCTCATAAAATGCCTGTGTTCTCTTGCCTAAGACACACAGACAATGCCAAACACAGTGTGTGAAAGGTTTTACCTTCAAGGTGCAAGGTCACATCACAACAATCTGACACATGGGAGATCTCAGGCTGCCATCTGCTGCAAGGTGAGACTGGCAGGGTGCCCCTTCATCTTGGGCCAACATCCAATAGCCATTATCCTTCCTGGATCCCACTAACAGATAAAGTATGCATTTTATTTGCCGAGCAAACCACTCAATTTGATTATAAGCAAAAACTGCTACAGAACCAACTTAGAAGCCCAGGAGATGTCCAAACATGGAAATCTCTTGTCAGGAATGTATCTAGGTTTTGTGGGCTTTGAAAATTATCCCATTTTGAAATCTTCTTTGAGAAGAGAAACAAAAGTCTGAATTCAAAGTTAGACGTGGGAAAATTATAGAGATGAAGAGCAGATTGATTGCCAGAGGTCAGGGATAGAGGGGATAGAAAGATATGTGTGTTTATAAAAGGGCAACATGAGGTATCCTTATGGTGATGAACTCTTTTGCGTCTTAGCTGAGGTGATGAATACATGAAGTTAAATGTTTGCTAAGATTCTCCAGAGCCACATCACTGGAAAACTCAACACACAGAGATGAGTACATATAAAATTGATGGACTCTGAGTAAGATTTGTGGATTATCAGTGCCACTTGTCTAGTTATTATATTGTACTACAGTTTTGCAAGATGTTACCCTTGGTAGAAACTAAGCAAGAGGAAGATGGGATCTCTATTTTCTTACAACAGCTTTTGAATCTACAATTATCTTAAATAGTTTAAAACTTTGGATAGCTAAAATTTTCTATGCTGTAGTTCATTCACTCAGGCTTCAAGAAATTCTCTGGCAAGCTGGGCATGGTAGCACATGCCTGTAATCCCAACAGTCAGAAGGTTGAGGCAGGAGAATTACAGTGAGTTTGAGGCCAGCCTGTGTTACATAGTTTAAGACCATCCTGAGTTACATAGTAAGACCCTGTTTCAAAAAACCAAACAAATAAAAAACCCAAAAATTCTCAGGCAGTGACCCATTAGCCCATGGGGATATGTCATATCTGATGCATATCAGGTCAGCTTCCACCAAAGACTTGGAAAGATAGAGCAAAGGCTTGGGAAACAGAAAAAACTAGGAGGAGGGGAAAATAAAAACAAAGAATAGGTACACGGCCTGACCAGTGCTTGTCCTCACAAGAAAGTTGGATGCTTAAGCTTTGTTGGCTTCTTGGCAAATCTACCTGTGGTTGAAAAGATAGTAGACCAATAGAAGATGAGGCAAGCAGACATGCAAAACCATTTCAAGACCCATGAGCAAATGTGTATATTTTCTGGGATTATCTGTTTTCAGAAACTCACCCACATAAATAGGTTGACTCCACTTGCTCCATAGCCCCATGGCTCTACATGCGGTGCTCACAGCTGCTCTCACTTGAATGGAGTACTTAGAAACACCATCAGTTGTGGAGACAAATGCATTGGTTGTTGTCTTTTCCACCTAAAAATTTGCATTATAAGACTCACTAGACAATTTGTGCCAATTATCAGCTTGAAAAGTCTTACTTGACTTACTGTTTAGCAAATATTTTAACATCAATGGTCTAAAATTTTTGGAAGTGTTGGTTTGGTATTCATGAAGTTCCTAAGGTGCTCTTTATCATGAAAGCATCTTATTTCCCCATCAATTTTGAAAGACAGTTTTGCAGGGTACATCAATCTGGGTTGGAGGCTGTTTTCCTTTAGGGCTTGAAATACATCACTCCAAGCTCTTTTTGCCTTGAGGGTTTGCATTGAGAAGTCCGCTGTGATTCTGATGGGCTTTCCTTTGTATGTGATTTGTTTCTTTTCTCTCACTGCTTGTAGAACTTTGTTCTTCTGTTAGGTTTCTGGAATCCTAACTATTTTATGCCTATGTGTAGATTTTTTTTTTTTTGATCAAAGCTAGTTGGAATCCTATATTTTTGTTTGGGACTATATTTCAAAGTTTAATGGACAAATGAAGAGTAAGCATATCTGCCCTTGTTCCCCACCTTAAGGAGAAAGCATTGTATCTTCTTCATTCATATAAGGCGTTTTTCCTGGAAGTATGGAGTGCATGTCTTTAATCTGTTGAGAAGGTTCTGTTCTATGTCTAGTCTCCTGATAGCTTTTACCATAAACAGCTGTGGAATTTAGTCTGATACTTTTTCTCCAACTAGAGACAAGATCATATGGCTTTTTCCTTTCCTCTGTTAAAATGATGACTTTTAGGGGTGGATCTTCCAATGCTGAACCAACACTGCCATCCCTATAATAAAACCACTTTCTACATACTGCCAGATCTGACTTCTAATAGTTTGTTTTGTTAGATTTCTGTCTATGTTCATACTTTTTTCTTCTATTATCTTTATCCAGTTTTGGGATTAGCACAATGTTGATTTCCTAAAATGAGGGGAGAAGTGTTCCTTCTTTATTCTGCTTTAATTGTTTGATATAATTTATCAGTTAAAATGTTTATGAGCCTGCTGTTGTCATATAGGTAGGTTTTCAAGCTAGGAATATACTTTCTTTAATAGGTGCTATTCAAATTTTATATTTCCTCCAGAGTTAGTTTCATTAATTTGTCATCCAAGGTACTTCTTAGAAGTTGTCAAATTTATTTCAAAACAGATTTTTGAAATATGCTTTCTATATCCTTTTAAATTCTGTAAAATCTGTGGTAATGTCTCCTAGATCTTGATATTGTAATTTTAAAAATGTATAATTGATATTGTGTAACAGGAAGAAAAGGTCTAAAGGAGCAGGGGAAGTGGGAGGGGTAGGGGAAAGGAAAGAAAGGAAAAGAAAAAATATGAGAAAAGGAAAAAAATGGAAACAAAGTCTTTGCAAATGGGGAAGGGTGGAGGGTGTGAAGGGAGGGTAGGGGAAGGGGAAAAAAATAAGAACCAAGACACTCATGTAATGGTACAAGATCCCAATGATGTATGTAAATGTATTTTATACCTAAAATGTACCAATAAACTTAATGGGGGAAAAAATCAATGGGATACAAGATAATTAGCTTATTCCAGACTGCTATCAGTGATGTGTAGGCAGTCGTCTTTCAGAGAGCTCTGTCTTATAATCAAAATATATAAAGTGGTCAATTGTAGGACCTAGATGATCTACTCTGGGCCCAGTTGATGTTTCAGAATCAAAGACTAGAGTAGCCTTTACCGGCACATATGATCTCCTTTACCTTGTTCCTTCATATTCTGAAGTCACATTCCTAAACAGTGTTAAAGTTTCCAGCATATTCAACCGGTGTCAGGAAACTATGTCCTGCTGCCTGATCTTCTATAGGCAATAAACTAAGAATGGCTTATATATTTGTAAAGGCTGGAAAATATAAAAAAGAATATTTCATGTGACATGAAAATTACATAAAATTTAAATTTCAGTATCCATGAATAAAACTTTACCAGAACACAGCCTCATGCATTTGTTTATTATAGCTGCTTTTATTTTACCATGGCAGAGCTTAGTAATTGTGACAGAAACTGTGTGGTCTGCAAAGCATAACATACTGTACTTTCTGTCTAGTTCACAGATCTCTTAAAACAACCATAGCCAGGGGATTGAGGATAGGAAAATGAGGGGCTCATAGGAAAGTAGAAAGAGCAGTGACCTTGAATTAAAGATGGAGAGGCCTGGGGCCTGGGATTTAGCTCAGTGGTGCCACCGCCTGCCTCGCAAGCACAAGGTCCCGAGTTTGATCCCAGGTACAAAAAAAAAAAAAAAAAAGATGGGCAGGCCTGGCTATATCTCCAGTTAACCCCAGGACAAGCTTTTTTACCTTGCTGAGACTCCACTGTCTCATTTATAAAATTGGAATAAGAAGACAAGTTGTGTGTGGTAGATAGGCTGAGGCAGGAGGATCACAAGTTTCATCCCAGTCTGTCTCAAAAAATAAGGGATGGAGATACAGCTAAGTGTGAAGGTTTTTGGTTTAATCACCAGTACCAAAACAAACCCACAACCAAAGGCATGGTTTATTGAGTTAAATGGAATTACTGTTAAGCCCAAAACTAATAAAAATTGCCAATGTTCAGCCATTTTTATCTATATAAGCAATAATTTTGGGTGATTTAATATATACTCAGTAAATAACAATTTGTTGCAGGCCCCTTAGATTTATACTAGATTGTCTAGTGTTAAAATGACATTGTCTTCTCAAAAATGAGTCTTCCTTTTTCTCTTGTCAGTGTCACAGCCATCCAACTAATCTGCTATCCCCTAAACCAGAGATGTGTCCCTGACATATTATATATCTTCTTGATGTGTTTCTCCCCTCCTCACTCCTGCCTCATGACCATTGTCTATTTTGGCTTTTGTTATCTTTTGCTTGGACTATGAGGCTGTGGCAACTAACATATATCTTCACATCTGTGTGGCTTCTCCCCACATATATCCAGCTTTCACACTGCTACCTAAATGATTATTCCCTGCAAATGTTGTCATGTTTCTGTCATGCAAAACCTTTTGGTGCTTCCCATTGTCTATGACCATGGTTTTAAAAAGAGAAACTTTTTTAAAAAAAGATGCCCTACGGAGTCACTCAGGAGAAGTTACAGGGTAAGACAGTTATAATTCCAGTGTTGCTTTTATGTACAAACAAACAGAATTATTGCCACTTGGCTTGAAAAAACATTCTCTCTCAAGCCTTTGAATCATTCCTTTGCTTTATATCCTGCTAGCAAAGTGTGGTGGGTAGACTGGTATAGGTCAGGAACTGTTTATTACTGTTTTTCAATAAGGTAAAAAAAAATAAGATTGAGACTATAATTTAAAAACTTTCAGAGTCTTTTGACGTTGCTATGACATCCAAGCACATGATCCATGAGCTTGTATTTTACATGTCTTTGACTATGTTTGATTTTTCTAGCAAATTATTTTTATTGTATTTTACAAAAACACAAATCTGTGGTAGATTGAAAATTTACAAAAGAAACCCCATCCTTCACTCTATGTATTTCAGAAATTACAGGCTAAGAAAATCCTTTTCTCATTCCTGGTTCCATTCACTTCCTCTCTGTGCAGCCCCCAGAAGGTTGTTTTGCCTGCTTTCTCCTCTGTGCCTGCATTAGCCTGAGTGTCCACTAAACTAGGCCCCTCCACAGCAGATGCAGGGTCTTAGTTATGTATCTCCCACCAAGAAGCCAATTTGTAAATGTTTGTTGAATTGAATTTACTTTGTCTCTTATCAGTAAGACGTGAGTTTGAACCCTGACTTGTCATTTGTATTTGTGTTTTGTTTTGTTTTCTCTAGCTTTGTGACTATGAACAAGTTATTTTCTCTCTTTTGCCTCATTTTCTTGTAAAATGGGAGATGATTATATAATAGAGTTATTATTGGGGTGGAATAAACAGACATAATAAACCTCGACACATAAAATACACAGAATGCTTTTTAACTTGCAAAACTCTAACTCTGGTTAGTGTTAGAGCCTTACCATTCTATTATTACCATGCTAGTCATAGAGCTTTACCATGTTGGTGGTAGAGTTTACCATGTATGAAGCCCTGAATTCAATTCCTAATATCTAGCAAGGCTGGGAAGGGGGTGTTCTGCCCCAACACCATTCCCTGGCATCACCATTCTACTTTCTGCCTACTCTAGGTACCTCATACAAATGGAATCATATAGTATTTATCTTTTTGTGACTCAGTTATTTCACTTAGCGTGATGTCCTCATATTTCATGATGTAGCATGCATTAGAATTGCCTTTTTTTAAAGGCTGAAATATATAAGATTTGGTTTATTTCTGTAAAAAATTATATACTGGATATCATTTTTAAATGCTTCTAAAATTAATATCTATCATCAAATATTGGAATGATCTGAAGAATTACCTGATAATAACCCTTCGTATTGTAAATTTTCACTTCATAATCAAAGCAATGAATTGGAAAGGCAGAAACTGGTTTCTCCCATTGGATGGAGAGACGAGATCCTTCAGTCTCTGCTGTGACATTCATTGGAGGATTTGGTTGATCTAGGTTAGAGAATGAGAGGTCACTAACATTTCTTTAGAACCAGTGGTCAGAGCTGATAATTCCAATCCACTCACACTTCTTAAGGCATCTCTCTAAGACAAATATGCTCCTCTCAGGGTTTGCCATCAAGTCTTAATCAATTGATCTCCAAGCCACAGGAACTTGGTGGCCTACCATAAGACTCCTGTATTATGGTGAAGAGGGACTTCTCTTATAAACTAAAAGATTTCTACTCTAGATGGAATTGCTTCCCCTTTCAGCTTATTACAAGATCACTTCAACATCACTTTAACTTTCTGAGATCAAGCTCAAGATAGACCAGACCATGAAGGGGACACTGCTCTGAACCAATCATCAAGCCCTGCCTGCACAAATCACTTCCCCTTTTTGGGTTTCAGTGTTTTGTTTTGTTCTGAGGATAGAGAAGGATGTGTTAGTTTTCTTGTGCATAAAAGAATAGGCTAAACTAAGTGTCTTTACTTACTACAAAGTTCTTTCCCCTGAGATTTGATTATCTCGTGACTGTGTAAGGTGAGTAGAAAGTATTTCTGGGTGAATGTACTTTGTCTTAGATCTCACAATTAATGAATCACAAGACAAACCTAAGAATAGGGCCTAGGGCCTACTGACTTCAGATTCAGCTATTTCCTAAGAAGAAAACTCTTACCAAGGGTGTACTTATTTTTTTTAGTAATCCTCAGACCTCAAAAAAATGATAAAATAAATTAGTATGTATCAAGTCCTATCTTGTTTTGTATTATTGGTTTCCAAGTCTCTCTCAGCATGTTTTATTGCCTATTTTCATTAAAGTGACATTTTCAGGTTATCTACAAAATACACTATTGAAGAGAATTGAATAACCTCTTTAGTAAGGGTTATGATTCTTTAACAAAAGTTATACTCCATTTAATATCAATATGTCTTAAGCCAAATTATGTCTTTTAAATAATAGTTTAGTGCATTTATTGAGCTCTTTTTTTTTTTTAAAGTTTTTTGAGACAGGGTCTCGCTGTATAGTCCAGGCTGACAGTGAACTAGCTATGTAATCCAGACTGGCCTCAAACTCACGGTGATCCTCCTGCCTTGCCTCCTAAGTGTTGAAATTACAAGTGTGTGCCACCACACCCAGCCTGTATTTATTGAATTCTTATGCCAGGCACTATTTTAAGAACTTTATTAACACACTTAATTCTCACAAAAACCTCATAGGAAGCATTCACTTATCCCTGCTTTTTATATAAGACCAAGCACCAAGGAGTAGTCAGCTTGTCTAAAGTCACTCAGCTGGTCAGTAGAAAAGCCAGGACCTAAGCCAAGGCAGTCTGGCTCCATATCCCATGGTAATTAACCTCCCAACACTGAAGTCTTGGATGCCAATGAATAAGAATGTTATGTGACAGGATTCTGATGAGTTTCATTAATAAAACTATCTAGGATGAGGGGAAACATAATCTGTTTTGAGAACTGAGTAGATGAAACCTTAAATAATATGTTCAGTGCTCAGAACTAGATGCTGAGGGGTACACTGCAACTTGGGAACTTTTACAGCTGGCCTAAAATGGTGAGGGGTGGTAAGAGGAATGCCTGAGGAATGGATTTGGGTGGGGAATTAGCTTGGAGAAGAGAGGCCTTAGAATGAGAACCTTGGTCACTTTTGAACCACTGAGGGACCATCCTGTGGGAAAACAGCCTCATCACAGGACATGACAGAAATCTCACAAAACCAGTCAGAACTGATAAGAGATGGAATGGGCTCTCTGAAGCAGTGAGTTCACTTTTCCTGGTACAGTCTTTCTGAACTGAGAGAAATTTTCTCCTTTAAGGGAAATTTGGCAATGACAGAGATGTATTTTGGTCACTAGTGAGGGTTAATGGGGGTTATACATCACTGGTATCTCATAGTAGTGACAGGTATGGAGGAAAACATCCTGCAGTGTCAAGGATATTTCTATGGCATGAGTTATCCAGTCACAAACTTCACTACCTGTAGTTCTGAAGTTAAGAAACCCTGCTGCAATGCTTTGCCAGCATGGGTTGGATGGTTACTGAATGTCAGAATAATAGTCCTACCCTTTCCAATGCTGAGATTCTGTGATTCAGTTATTTCAGCTTTGGTATAAGTCTGTCTTACCAATGGCTTGTGTATCAAACAGCTGATCAAAGGGCTTGATTGCAGCATGTTTGCTTGAGCCATTAACATGCACTGCAAGCCTGTCACGTGCTTTGCTATGAATGAAAGTCCTTGGGAACCAGCATGCAGTATTTCTGTTGAGTGTATCCTTGCTGTATTTTTGACATTCTTCAGTCCAAGGGCCATACCTAAATTGTAACATTCTTAAGTTTTATAAAGCCAGAGGAAGCATCACATTTGCATAAGTAAAAATAAATACTAACCTATAATAGAGGAAATACTGTGTGTCCTCAGGGGCATCCTTGCCAGCAAGCCAGGTGCAATGAAGAGAAACTTGATATGACTTTAATAAGTCTGTAAAATTACCTGCTGCAGTGTTTGTGGTACAAGTTAAATTCACAATTGAGGTTCCAGGAGATCCTAGGTGGTTGAAAATAAGAACAATAAAACATTGCTTTGATGGCTTCTGGATTTTGTACTTCAAGACCAAAGTGATTGTGAGTATCTTACACAACACCAAAATGTAACTATAATCATCTATTTATAGAAATGTATTTGCAAAGGACCAGCTGGAGGTTTGAAAGTAGAATTACAAAGCCCCAGGTTCTGAGATCAAAGAGGTTTCCAGCTACTTTACTTTGGTTGGGGTTGTGGGGATTGTGTTAGTCAGTAACATATACAAAAGCTCAAGAGCAGTTCAGTGAACCGTCATTTAGCGGTAAGTGTCCAACAACCTCAGCTTCTAACGCCACATTTGTCAATAATGTGAAACCTTAGCCCTACTACTTGTGGATTGCATTTTTTTCTGATGTAAATGGGAAGATTGGTTAAGGTCTCCTGTGCCTCTTTGCATCCCAGAATTGTGCAATTCATTCATTTATATAGAAATGTTTCGAGACTTACATAGACTGATGCTTAGAAGGAAATGGGTTGTAGTAACACTGAAAATAACACCATGACTTTGGAGACTTGAAGCACATTAGCATGTTAAAAATCCCCTCTAATATAAAGTAGTAGGACTCAGAAGTAAATATTGTGATTTTAAATGAAACTCCTTTATGTTTGCTTTTTCTATGATTTCCCAAAATTACGTAAGTGGAAAAAATGGAAAGCCTTGTTTTCATTTCAGTTTCTCTTGGCACTATGTTAACTGCTGCTCTTCAGAACACGGTGGAAACCCTGGCGTTGGTGTGGTTGCTCAAAGAAGGCAAACAAAAAAATATTTTGAGCCTAGGGTCAAAGCATCACCAAAGCAGAAGCCTTGAAAGATGGAAGGGGGCTTTTTAGTTCAGTTTACGGCAGCTGTAGATTTTTCAATATCACTGTTACCCGGTGTCTTTCAAGGGGGAGAGGGAGAAAGTGAAGCAAAAGAGCCTGCTATTATCTGCAAAGAAATTACAGGCTGAAGACTGACTAAAGTCAATTTTCTCGGTACATGTATATGTATATTATATGTACATGTTTTGTTTATATATAGTCATTCCTCCATGTGCTCAGGAGTGGCTCCTGCATACTACGAACCATAGATCTCAAATCTCTTAGATTAAATAATATAGTATTGCATGTAACCTATGTTCTTCCTTCCATATACTTTAAACCACCTCTATATTATTTATAATAATTAATGTAAATATGTGAGTAATGGTTATGTTAGGGAATAGTGACAGAAAAACAACAGTACAAAGGCAATGATTTGTTTTAGAATATTTTTGATCTATAGTCATTTGAATCCATGGACATGGAATTTGTGGTATGGAGGGCCAAATGTGTGTGTGTGCATGTGTGTGTCCCCACACCCTAAATAATCAGAAAATTCATGCCCAAGTTCACTTAGAGTTCATAAATCAGCTTGTCTTGTGTTTTCATCCAAGGAAATTATTTGGTATGAGTTTCCATTTGCTTCAAGACAGAAATAATGACTGTTTCACTAGTGTCAACCTACATTGGAGTACTGAGAAAATAAATAGAATTGCATAAATTCAGTGCTAAGAAGTGCATTATGTAAGCTGGGCCTGGTGGTTCACACCTGTAATCCCAGAACTTGGGAGGCTGAAGCAGGAGGATTGCTGTGAATTTGAGGCCAGCCTGGGCTACATAGTGAGTTCAAGGCCAGCCCACACTACAAAGAAAGTACCTGTCTCAAAAAACAAACAAAAAGTGCACTGGGTATAGATAATCCAGTTCTCTACTACAGAAATGTGGAATAATGATTTAATATAAGGCACCCAATGAACCATATTTATGACTATTCATATGACCTTAAATTAGCCCCTTTACTTGGATCAAGCCCATTTTAAACTGGCAGATATGTGGTCAAAATGATATGTTATAATGAGTAAATGAGAAGAGTTTTACTGCACTGTCACAATTCATGAGGTGCTATGGCTTGAATAAATGTCCCCAAAAGTTCATTTTATTAATGGTTTGGTTCCCCAGCCCATGGCGTGCTATTGGGGAATAGTGGAACTTTTAAGAGTTAGGGCCAGGTGGGAAGTGTTTGGGTCTTTGAGAGTGGGACCTCAAGGGTGTAGTGGGACCCCTGCCCCTTCTTCTCTCTTTTGCCTCTTGGCCATGAGGTTAGCAATTTTCCTCTGCCATATCCTTTCACCACAATGTACTTCCTCACCACGTGGCCTAAAAGTGGTGGGGCCAACTTGCCATGGATGGAGACCTTAAAGGATGAGTCAAAATAAGCTTTCTTTATAAGTTGATTATCTCAGGTATCTGTTAGAGTAATGGAAAATGATTTAACACAGGAGCCATTATATTTTTATTTCGTAATGTGGACGAGAATAATGTGAAAAATATCCATGGGTTAGATGGATGGAGACAGATTGTTATTAGGTGCATTCCCATGTCCCAGGACCTGAAGGCTTGTCTCTCTCTCTTTCTCCCTCCTCTCTCTCTCTCTCTCTTTCTGTCTGTATCTCTGCCTGTCTCTCTCTCTTTCCTCCTCTCCTCTTCCCTTCACTTCCCTCCTCTTCCCTTCCCTTCCTTTCCCCTCCCCTCAGTCTCCCTCCCTCCCTACATGCGTGTGTGTGTGTGTGTGTGTGTGTGTGTGTGTGTGTGTTTCCAGAAGTATCACTAAATCACGAGTTCTAAGTATCAGAAGCACCAACTTTCCACTATGGCCAATGTAGAGACAGCAAGCATTCTTGTAGGGATGTGCCTCATAAAATTGGATGGGTCATAATAATAAGTGAGGACAGTCTTGTGTAGGGTGTAGATGGTATGAAGAAGTACTCACAGGAACTGGTGACTGACTAAAGTAAAACAAATTGTTGCTATTTTATCTACCACTTTGAAAAGTCTAAAATATAAAACCAGACTTTTAGAGGCATGTTTTACCTGGTGGGGCTTTATGTTCAGCAGAAACCCAGCTGCTGGCCAGAAAGGAGTGGTCCCTCCACAGGATGGTACGCACACTTGCTGAAAAGCCTTGATGAAGGGTGGTTTCACATTTGCTTTCAGAGTTTCTGGTTTCATACTAAAAACTCACAAGTCAAAACACATAAGAGAGAAATAGTCTTAACAGAACAATTTTTAATCAAATATTCCTTTACTTTCACTTTTCAAATTACACATCAGTAAAATACAATGACATAGTAGTTTTGGTAGAAAAAATTCAAACCATTCTAATAATTACATCATTCCTCAATGACACATGAATACATTCTCCTTATAAAAACAGAAAATACTGCATGAAGGCTGAAATTTTCTTTGATTCCTGTTTCTAGTGCCAGTCCCCTCTCCAGAATTAACTTTTTGACTGGAAAGTCTCTAGAATTCCATCTTTACTGCAAAACAGTTAATAAAGTCACTTTTCCCTTTGTCTTAATTATGCATCTACTATGCAGCAGGTGCTTTAACAGTCCCGATAGTAAACCTGAGTCTCCAAGAAGTCAGATAATTGGTCCATTCTGCATAGACAGGAAGTGAGTGAACTGAGCTTGTATTTGATTTCTCTGACCCTACATGCTCACACTCCCCATCTTATTGGGCTACTCTCTTGTGTTGTTCTTTCTATTTTAGAAGAAACATAAAACCAGCATTTAATCCACTGTACCTAAAAAGTTACTAATTCTTCTTTCCTAAGGGAAAGAATTGTCCCAAAGATACACTATTGCATGCTGTTGAAACAATGAGCATAGCACTAACAGCTATTTCCACTGAGATACTACTCTATTGATAATATAAGAAGCTCTTTAATAATTTTTTATTTAAAATCTCATTTGTTAAAGAAAATATAATCAAAATGACCATTTGCTCTAATTAACAACTGCTCCTAGAATAAATACTTACATCCTCTTGTTGTGGGGCATTTATTTTCACATGATATTTTACAGTGTCAGTCCTTTGTCCTTGATCAGGATTTGGTTCCCAACATAAAAGAACTTGAGCTAAACCAGTAACTTTAATGGTGAAATTCACAGGTGGGAGAAGTAAAACTGTTGATTTAAAAAAGCAGCAGCATCACAACATTTCACTGTACATAAATAGCACTTTAAAATATTTTAAAATATTTTATTTTGTAGCATACTGTTAGGCTATTAGAATGTACAATACTGAAATAATTTTGGAAGAAGTATAAGATTGCTTTTAACTTATCCTTTTTAACCATGCCAGGGTATTTACCTATAATATTTACATATTTTAATTGAAATATGAACATTTTATTACATCTTTATTTTTTAAGTATAGGTTTCAAAATGAGGGGAATTATCCATTAATGTGCCATGATAGCAATTTATTGGGTTGTGACCAGCATTTTTATTGATATGGAAAAAAAAGTAGAATAGAAAATACCCAAGTGCATCAAACATACCTGCCTCACCAACTTCTTGTTTGTATTACACAACAGTACATATATATGTTTACGTGCAATGGTCTATGTTGTAAAGTGTATATTTTATGAGTGCATCAAAAGTATTTGTGATTGTAATTACTTCAGTAGGCTTTTATACAAAGAGTTTTTTTCCCTTCATGTACCACTCTGCTTTCAAAATAAAAGCTTTATTTTAATTACAAAATCAGTATTTGATCATTATAAAAATGTATAAAGAGGAGCAAAAAGAAGAAAACGAAACTGTCCTGCAGTCTTACCATTGATAATGACACGATATATTCATTATATTTTTCTGTGTGTATATTTATATAGCTCAAAATTAGTACAGTATCATATACACCATTATTAAACTTCTTTTACTTACCAAGTTGGCAGGATTTTCCACTGATCTTAAAGGGCCTTCCATGAGTCTGCATCCCACTTGCCACATAACACTTTTTAGGGCTCTGTCTGTATTGTACTGTCCATTATGTTAGCCACTAACTACTGTGGCTGTTTAAATGTAAATGCATTTAAATAAAATCAAATGTTCATTACCTCAGTTGTGCTATGCATATTTCAAGTGCTCAATAATGAAACATAGTGGCTACTGCATTCATTGGACAATGCAGTGATGAAATATTGTCTTTATCATAAAAAGTCTATTGGACCATACTAGTTCAGGACCTCATGTCAGTTTAACTTTGTCCTCACATCAGACCCATAAACCAACAAGTTTCAGAACAGATCATACAAGTATTTAATCATTTGTTGTGAAGTTTTCTAACCAATCCCTTGTATGGAAGGGCATCATAAAAGTGGCCACCAATCATAGTGCCTGTACATGCACACTTGAAATTGGATTTCCCAGGGCAGCATAACTTATATCTGCCAACAATTTTTTCTTCAGATGTAACATATTGAAGAATATGTTTTATGATAAGGATGTTCTTTATAAAAAAATTTTCCAAATTGTATGTTTATTTGGGAGAAAATCATGCTATCCTTTTTGTAATACACTAATTTTTTTAGAAAAGAAACATTATTGATTAGAAAGCCCTTACATGTTTTGTCAGGAAATAAGTCTGTTTGCAGAGTCTCCATGGCCCCCAAAAGGATCAGTAAGGCAGGCACCATGATGATCAGAACCTACAGAAAACAAAGGAGATGAAAATCAAATCATCCTGTTTTAATTTCTAAGAAAAAACAACAGTTCCTTTCTAACATAAGATATCAGTATTTGGCTATTTAACAAACATGACATATTCTTCCATATTTGAATACCCAAATGTTGGACTTTGCTCTTCCATTATAGATCTATAGTCTGGGGTTGAGGGTAGTGAAATGTAAATCAGTAATTGTAGACTAGTTAAAAACTGTCCCAGTAAGGTGTATGTGGGACACAGTGGGCGCAAAGAGACTCCTGAAGGGTAAACTACGGTTTGTAACATGATGAAGCAAGACAAGCATTCCTGGGGGAATCCACTTAATGTGCACAGTTGGAAGAGAAGGAAGCAAACAAGAAGAGGATCCACTGGTGCTTAGCAGGAGACCCAAGAGGGCTTTGGAACTGGAAGAGTTCAAGGCACATTTCATCAAAGACAAAAACATTACCATTTGTATTAATGAGTATTTAAATATGAACCATGGACTAACATTGTAGTTTTGTGTGTGTTTAGCATGTACAAGAGTGCGTGTTTGGCACAGGAACTTGCATTTAGTTCCCAGCACGTGCGCATGAATACACGCACACACACACACACACACACACACACACAGACACTTGACAAGAAATTTAAATATCTAACAGTTTATAATGTGGGGAGAAGAACCTTTATATTATAAATGTAGCATATTCTGTGTTTGGAAGAACCTGATTTTTTAAGGGAGTCACAGGCCAGATGAGGAGTGCTTTCAAGGAACGTGCAAAGACCAAAATTATAGAAAACATAAAGTCAAATGCTGAAGCCTCACTAATACTTTGTAATACTCAGCTTTGTGTGAAATTTGTTTGTAAAAAAATTGTTATTCTTAGGGCTGGGGATTTAGCTCAGTGGTTCTGGTGCCTGCCTTGCAAGCGCAAGGTCCCAAGTTCGATCCCCAGTACCAAAACAAAACAAAACAAAAAATTGTTATTCTTGATAGTATTTACTCTTATTTGAGCATCTTGTGTTGTCAGTAGGACAACTGATATTGTTACAGATGTATTGTCTATTTGAATAGAAAATATCAATGAGATGTAAAAAAAGTGTCTCAATTTATGGGAAAATGTAATCAAAATTTTTTTGAATTATTAAAAAACAATTTTATTTTCACCAGCTATAAAATCAGAATATGTGGCAAATTATAGGGGAACAGGTCACAAAAGAACAGAAAAAGTTATAGATGTGGACAAAATAAAAATAATATTTATAGTTATTTAAAACTTATTTGGACAGTGGTTCTGCTACCTGCCCTGCAAGTGCAAGGACCCAAGTTCGATCCCCAGTACCAAAAAAAAAAAACCAAAACTTATTTGGACAATGAAAATGAATTGAGAATAGGAAGATGCATGTAATTACTCATTGGGAAAAAGGAAAAATTTCATCCCTTGTTTTATATATCAAAGAGAAGAGTCAAGGATCACTTGCTGGGAACTGTAGTTAAGATAGCTTGAGATTTTCCCTCTGCAAATTTTGTAAGCCACTTTTCATCATAGCTTCACTTGGCTTCCACTGCTGTGAGCCACCCTCACTGTTCCACATATCAGTTTCTTCTGCCCTTATATGAGTGCCTGTCATTTGGTGCATAGCGCATTTGCTTATTACTTGTGAAGGAAATGTCTTCCATGGGCTTATTCCCATTTATAAGGGAAATGAGTCTGAAAAGTTAAATGATTTGCCAAAGAGCAAGCAGCTGGTAATTATTGAACATGGTCCCAAATTTAGAGCTTTTGTAAATGAGGAGAGGAAGATGGGTTGGAGGGATAAGACAGGCAGGGGACAACAAAAAAAAGAATTAAGACATGTTAGGTTACATGTACAAATCCCTCATGATGAATGTGATCATTGTGTACTACAAACATATACTAATAAAAATAAATTTAAAAAATAAAGTTAAACCCACAGTGATGACAAAAACAAATATTCTATTCTGAATTTTTAACAAGTGTGAATTTTATGACTTAAAAGGAAACATTAGTAATAACTAAGCCTAGGAAAAAAAGAAAAAATACCCTTAACAAAAACAAAGATAGTTTCTTCTTCAAATTATGAAAGTGATGTCTTAAAATGTCAGAATTTCCTGAAATAAAATTGAATATGCTCTAGCTGCACTAATTTTCATTAATAAAAATTCTAGGTCAGAAAAAAATGTAAAGTTAATACTCCCTAGTCAGTTTTACTGGTTGGCACAGTAAGAAGTATGTTAGAATCATACTTGCAAAAATAGAAAGTGTTTGTTTATCCTTTACAATTAAATTGTTGAAGTAAATAATGAAACTATTGAATATCTCAATGGGAAGATACTGAATATTTTACATAAGTAAGCACTCTTTCCTATAATTTGCCACATATTCTGATTTTGTATCTGCTGAAAGCAGAATTTTTATATTTAATCACTCAAAAATTTTTGATTAAGTTTTCCCATAAGCAATGAGACCCTTTTTTTCACACCTCAGTGATATTTTCTATTCAGATAGACAGTGCATCTGTTAACAATATCAGTTGTCCTACTGACAACACAAGATACTCAGAGTAAATATTATCAAGAATAACAAATTGTTTGCAAACAAATTTCACACAGAGTTGAGTATTACAGAGCATTACTGGAGCTACAGCACTTGACTTCATGTTTTCTATAATTTTCGTCTCTGCACGCTCCTTGAAAGCCTCCCTCATCTGGTCTGTGACTCCCTTAAAACTTCTGGTCCTCTGCACAGCAATCATCCTTGTTATGAGAAAAAAAGATTCAAATCTGTTTGAGCCAGCTATGCAATCCAAAGATACACTATTATATAGATGTCAAGTGGGCCATATTTTATTGTACAAGAATACAGCTAATCTACTGGCTTTATGTGTATATATATATATGTATATAATATACACAATCTCAAAATATGTATATATATACAATCTCAAAATAACAATGTATTCAATATCATAGTTATCAGAATCCAGAAGAAAATCATTAAATTGTGAAAATAAATTTAAATTAAGCAGAATGATGCAAACATAGGGTGCTTACCTACAATTAGTCAGGAACAGGAGCTCGGTCTTTAAGAATGATCAGAAACAACTGTTTCTGTGGTACCACATTGAGCCAATCTAAAATTCTTCAAATGTCCCCTGAGAACCCAGCCTGTGGTGAGTGTGAAGGTCTCAAATTTAAGAGAAGACAGGAGCACAATCTCTCTCACACAGATGTTTCTAGAAAGTCAGATGAGTAAAGTTTTAACCATCGGCAATGAATTTCCCCAGTGTTCTTGAGAATCAGTCAAATTCTTCTGAAGTTCCAACTTATAAAATTCCCCCTTTTTACAATTTATTTTTCAGCCCAGGGCATTCACTTTACAAGCAAAGTTGTATTTGCAGCCTTATTTTCAGAGCTTTTTTTGAGTTAGCTGTGGTGACATCTAATTCCAAGTTCAACCTCATGGTAGAAATTGAAAAGCTACTGAAAGGATTCATGCTCTACTAGTCTCTAAAAAGTAAAGTGTTTACTTCCTTTTTTTTTATCCTATGTGTTATAATCAGCAATAAAGCCTATTTCTTAGGCGGGGGGGAGAATGACTATATAAGCAAAACAGCACGTTTAACAAGGTATAGTGCGTTACTCCCCGATATAAAACTGGTCATACTCCAAAAAATATAAATTCATAATAAGAACTACTCATGCAATTTTCTTTACTACTACTGGACTTCTGATTAATTTTTCTGAAATAGTTCATGGGCTCAAATTGTGGTAAGACACACAAAACACTCTCTTAGTCCGGGGGGAACGGTGCTGCCACTGTATTTGGACAATAGATAAAGAAGTTCATACAGACACCCCAACAGTTAAGTATCTCCCCACCAGCCACACATCTAGCACTGATGCTCCCCACTGGTGGACATACCTGTCCACGGACCATCAAGGATCACATCTGTGCTCACAGCTACAGCCCCACTTCCAGCACAGTATGAAGCACATGGCAAGGCTCACTGTCTCTGTGCCTATGTAGAGCTGAGGCAAATCAGTACACAACCCTGATAAGGCAAGTTGTGTATGCTCAGATCAATTAGGGCAGGAGAGACGGGACAGGACAGGGGCAGAATGGGGAGTGTGTAATAACCCTGCTCCCTTTGGTCCTGTGCCTAAAAATTTTCTCACCTAGCATTTCAAGTAATGTAAACAAATGAGGTGATTTGATTTCCAATTTTATAGTATTTCAAAATGCAAACTTTGAAGTGCAAACTTTGACATAGCTACCTAGATTTTTTTTGATAACTATGAAAGGATATATTCATATGAAATAGGAGTCATTTACTCTGATAGTTCATTAAATTGAATATCAAATATGTTAGTATAGCTATAAAAGCATAGTATTTATGACTTTGCGGTTCATAGACTATTAAACTATTGATTTTCCTTTCCTTTATTTTCTTTGCCATTTTTGTTTGTTTTTTCGATCTATTTCATCCATTTCTTCTGTCTACATGGAAATATATTTTCTGTGCTTGGGGTAACTAATTGAATTAGTGAGTATTAAATCAAGTGAGGCATTTCAGCAGCTTTTTGTACATTTTAGATAAAACAGTTTTAGAAATTCAAGAACCCTCAACAGAAACAAAAAGTAGAAAGCCTTCAGTTATATACAATGCCATCATTTCCTTTTTGCGATTATTTCTTCATTCGTAACTTGTAAAATTAACTCTGAAACTTCTTTGTGAATATACCTTATTACTTATTTCCCAAACTCACCTATTTTCTAAGAAATTTTGGCAGACTATATGTTCTCATTTTAACTCTAAAGTATTGGGAGCAGTGGAAAATAAATGTCTTATATTTTTATAAACATTAAACTATTGGTGTTATTTTAGTAGAACTCACCTAGGTACAGATTTGTACATCTGTTACTTACCCAAGAAAAAGAAAAAAAATACAACACTGTACCCTGAACTTGCTTGGTGATCTGCCTAAATACAAGTTTGATAGCACTGTTATTAGATATGTCTCTTTTAGTAACAGTTATAAGGGATTTTGTTCCTCCTTTTTCTTTATTTAAAAGCTTGTCTTCTATTTATAAGTCATCATTTCTTACTTTTCCTACCCCTCCCTTGGGTATTACTACAACTTGTCATATAAAAATGTTATTTATCTGCTCACCCTGCAATGAGTCAAGCATTTGTTTCTCACTTACTCAGAAGTGCAGAGGCCATGCCATCAGAAGCAGCAGCTGGGCATTGAAAATGAACCTTATCTCTTGGTTCACTTTTTGACTTTGAGGTGGTTTTTTGGTCTTTCATCATCGCAGGCAGTTTCTTCTGCAATGGAATGGCAATGTGACTTCTTTAAGCAACTAATGAAGAAGATTTGTAAGAAGATGGTAATTATAGACTAGCTTTATTGGAACTTCCAATGACTAGACTGCTGTCAAACAAAAGGATCTATATTGTGCAGGTAGGCACTATCTGATAACTGCCTTGTCTGCATTTTCTCCCTCTTTCAGAGGTGATTTGCTCACTTTAGGAGTAGAAATTAACTTTTGCTCATGGCAACAAGGTAATCAAATCTTCTATGGACACTCTAAAGCATTGTATGTCTACTTTTTTTTTCTTTGTGGTACCGAGGATCAAATTCAGGACCTTGCATTTGTGAGGCAGGCATGGTACCACTGAGCTAAATCCCTAGCCCGTATGTCTACTTTTTAGTGTTCCTCATTGGGTAGAGTAGCTTTTGTGTCTCATTACCTATCTTACATTAAGTGTTAGGTTTGGCAAGAAATAGGCCTTGGGGAATATGCTTCTCCCTCCATTCTGAGCATGAGGAGCAATTCTCAAGCATTAGGGAATGCCCTTAGCCCTCTTCTGCTTTGTCTAATGATCTTGTACACTCAAGTAGGTGTGTGTGTATATATACATGCACAGGTGCACATGTGCCTGAGGAGATTGCACTGAGTGTGAGAAATGGCTGGGGTCTATTGCCTGGCTGGAGTCACGCTACACAAACTGTGACAGTGGTTGTGTTGGTCAGTGGTGCACTCCATGAATGATTCTCTCCATCATTTCCCAAATCCCATAGTAACACCCTGTGTCCTCGGCATATTGGCACTGAAGCAGACCTATTTGGATTTTCCTGTCCTTTGTACCATTTCTGCAAGTACATTTTAGGGAATTTCAAGGTGAGTGACTTACAGAGGTGAGATTTAAAAACAAAATGTGGTTTAGGGGAGAATACATAAGAATATTACTTAATGCATCATTGGAGCCAGATATTAATAATTGCATTTGAAAGGTGAGTTTTGGGCTTAGCCCTAGGGATATATGATGTGAGTTTCCCTATTCCAGAGTGTGAGACTTTGGTAGTAGAGGGGCCATGGTCCCTCCCAGCAGACCTATGGGGGCAGTTCCCAAGGTTAGACCAATGTTTCTGTTTGAGACATGAAAAAAATGAGCCCAGTGAAGACAACTCTGCAAGGCTCAGGGGCCCAGCTGTGTAGGTAGTCACTGTGTATTCTTGGTGTTCCCAAGGTAACCATTTTAGTAGCTGGCAAAATGAAACCAGATCAATCATTGTTTGATGACCTGAAAAAGTGTGATTTTCCTTGGAAAAATGGAAAATAAAACAAGAAACATCTCTTTGCTTAGAGGCACCCAGAAAGTGTGCTTAAATGTTTCCCATATTTCTCATGTTCTTTCTCTCTTTTCTCTCTCTCTCTCTCTCTCCACACACACACACACACACACACACACACACACACACACACTGAATACAGCTGTGCACTATGCTAGGGACTCTGAAGGATTACAGAAAATTGGGCCCAGCTACCACATTCTTGGCTGTATGATCTTTTACCAACAGTGCCCCACCCCCAACCCCCACAAATCATGTGCTTATCTTTTTTCTCCATGTTTGTATACAAGCCCAAAGGAAACAAGAGAGGCTTCTGCCTTTGTATATTTTTATGGCATTAGTGTTGTTCTTTAGAATAAAATATAAATGTCCAACAGCATTTACAGTGCAACATGCTGGAAGAATTCACAAAAGTAGTGTTTCAAAAATAAAATTTGCTTGTATCCTTTAAGAAGCAAAACAATGCGGGTTTGGCCAACTGGCATAGATGAGAATCTGAACAGTAATAACATGGAAATAAAGATTCAGTGGCTCTCTCTACTTTTAGGAATATGTTCTGTGGAAATAATGTGAAATGTAGACCAAGATTTATACAAAAGAGAGAAAATAAAAGTCATTGTACCATTACTTGAAATAGTAAAAGTAATGTAAGGATGGTTAAGAGACATATATAACTTCTCAAAATTGAAATACATGGGTCTTAAAAGGAGTGTTTATTGAGAGCTCTTAACACAGGGTATTATAGAAAAGTAATAAGCAAAAACAACAGAAGATTATACACCCCAAATTTCTTTCATCAGCTCATTCTTGGTCAGATGATAAGACTGACAGATTACCTCTAAGTGGTAAATATATTAGCTATTGCTGCAGAACAAACAACCACAGGCATGTCTGTGGTAAACAATGATAAACATTTATTTCTGGGCTGCATGTCTGAGTTTTTATTGTGTTTGTTCTACCTTGGGTTTGGCCTCCACATCACAGTGTGGGCTCAGGTTTATTCCAAGCCAGTCATTTGCAACCAGTGGCTACCCAGAGCATATTTCTTTCATGACGATAGTAAAAAAGCAAGAAAGTAAGACCAACTGCACAAGCACATTTTAAGCATCTGCTCATGACACATTCAGCGACATCCCTAGGGTCACAGCAGATGCCATGGTCAAGCCTATTGTCATATGGCCCAAGCCCAGAGCACACTCCATTTATGATAAGGCCATGGTAAGGATGTGGGTGTATATTGCTACAGGAGACTGAAGAATTGGGGTCAGTACTTCCTTCTACTGCAGCAGGATTAATGTTTCTTTTAATAGATACAAATGTTTTATTCTACACAAATATAAGAATAAAGAATTATTTTTAAATATTGGAGATATGCTGATTAACATAAACTCACATTTGTGGTAAATTAAATTTTTGACAAAGGTACCAAGACAACTCAATTGGGGGAAAAAAATCAATCTTTCAACAAATGGTGCATATACATTTGCAAAAAAATACTGAACCTCTACCTCATGACCTATGAAAATTGAGTCTGGAAGGGCTAAAAGATCTAAAAGACATAAAGCTATGACATTCCTAGAAGAAAACATAGGCATAAATCTTTGTAACCTTTGGTTAAGCATTTTTTTTCTAACTAAAACACAAAAACACAAGCAACAAAAGAAAAAAATAAATAAATTAGATTTCACCAAAATCAAAAGTTTAAAAGGACACCAAAAAAGTAAAAAGACAACTCAGAATGGGAAAAATGTTTTCAAATATGTTTCTGATAAGGGACTTGTATTTAGAATATATAAAAAACTCGTAACTCAACAATTAAAAGTAATCTAGTTTAAAAATAGGCAAAATTTTGAACAGGGATATTTCCAAAGAAGATGTACCAACAACCAATATGCAGATGAGCAGCTGCTTAGCATTATTAGCCATCAGAGAAATACAGATCAAAACCACAATGCAAAACTGGTGCATAGGCACAGACAACCGCATGTGCTGATGAGCATGTGGAGAAATTGGGACCCTCCTGTACTGTTGCTGGAATTATACAATGGTGCAGCTACTTGAGAAAGTAGTCTAGCAGTTCCTCAAAAAGAGAAATATACAATTACCATATGCCCAGCAATTCCATTCCTATGCAAATACCTACCCAAGAGAATTGAAAACATAAGCTCACATAAAATTTTGTATGTAAATGTTCATAGCAACGTTATTTGGAATAGTCAAGTGGGAACAATTCACACATGCATCAACTGATGAAAGGATAAGTATGTAATATATACATACATACATACATATACACACAAACAGTGGAGCATCACTAAGTAATATAAAGGAAGTACTGGTATGTGCTACAACATGGATGATCCTTGAAAACAAGATCAAGTTAGTCACAAAAGACCACACATTGCATGATTGCACTTGTATGAAATGTCCAGCACAAGCAAATCTATAGTTGAGATAGAAAAAAATTAGCAGTTGCCTGGGGCTTGGGTGAAAAGGGTGGGGGCCAATGGAAAGAATTTTGAGAAAATGGGAAGTGACTGCTAATAGCTATGAGGTTTCTTTGGGTAAAGACAATATTCTGTGTTGTTTGTGATGATGGTTGCCAACTCTGAATATACTGAAAACCACTGGGTTAAGCAGTTTACATTGGTGAATTTTATGACATGTGAATTATATTTCAGTAAAACTGAAATTCTATTTCAGCGTCATTTAAAAAAACACTTGAAAGATGGCCTGACAAGACTTAAATGGCATCCTAGGTACTTACAGAATAATTCTAGTGTAAAGCCAGTATGTACATTTATTGTAGCTAAAATTATGAGCACATCTATATTCAGGGAAGAATCTTCGTAGCTTAAGCGTTTTCAGTTCTTTACTCAGTGACCAATCCTTTGCTCTGAAAGAAAGGAAAAAAAGCCAGATATAGGAAACCAACGAGAATACTGTAAAAACAGTAACAAAAGTTGTATAGTTAAACTTACCTTATTAATGTAAAGTAATACTGTTTCAATCAAGAGAAAATCTGTTATGTGCTTGGGGACTGTCAGTTGTTTTCTGCACATTCTCATAGTGTAGCCCTGTAAACCTGTTTTTACAGGTGAGTAAACTGAGGCTTAGAGAATTTACATAGCACAGCTTTGTGATGCTCCCTGAATTCACATTGCCCAGAAAGGCAAAACCTTAATCCTATAACTTTGATAGTTATTTTAAAAGAGATAAGGTGAGGAGTGTCTGAGTGTTTATCTTGAACCAAACACCTGATTTGGTGGTGGTGATGGTAGATAAGACATTTCTTTTGAGGAACTCCTGATTGTGTCAGATTAAGAGTGTCATCTCCTATTGGGAGACCTCTCTTAACTCTTCTCTTTCTCCCTCTAGTATACACTCACCTGTTGCTTGTATCTTTCTTTTTATACTCTGTGATGTTTATATCTCTGTGTCCACTACAGAGATCCTGAGATGCATGTCTCACATCTTGAATCCAAGGTGCAGATTATAGGACAGGTTATTTTATGTAGCTTGGGTTTGTCACAGACTTTCCTAGTATTCATCACAAGGAGTAGATTCTCGTGCTTAAAGGAAAGAAAAGGTTTTCTGTTGTTGTAGTGGGGAGTTCTGTATGAACCTAAATGTAAAATAGGCAGTGGAACTTAGACTCCTCTTGGTTCTGATCTGAGGCTGCTGATAATTCATTATTTTGAAGGTGATTATTCGCAGTCTTTACCCTTGGGCCTCTGTTCTTTTAACTGTTATTGAAGTCCCATCTTTTAAAATTAACGATGCAGTATGAAATTTCAGAGCAGCTAAAATTGATTCGTCTATTTACTTACCTCTTTTAAATGTAAAATAAAATTGCATGTGTGTGTCAAATCCCCCAGCACCAGTGAAAATTGCGACTCTACATTTGCTGAGAAGTATCTTTATTTGTCCTCTGGGAGATCTTAAACTTTAGTTGCTTTCTATTAAACTTTTATGAGAACAAAAGTAGTGAATGACTTTGTCTTCAAACAGGTACTTTTTGTTGTTTCAAAGAAAGAAATACATTCCTGAAACAACTTGTTCTTTTCAGCAAATTTACTTTGTGTCATTTACAAAGAAAAGGTAGGGTGAAGAGGGGGGAGAGGAGACAACAACCAGAACTCCTGAATTGCAGAATAGTAAAATTAGGTCATAATTACATTTTATTTGATTTACCTAAATATGTCCAAAAATATCTTGCCCAAGGGGACTAAATGCTATAATCATTAATTCATAACTTCATGGAAGCATTATTCTCCCTTCTCTGTCCTATTTTAAAGTGCCAATGCTTCCAGGAACCCTGATATATAGAAGAGAGCTGAGGCTGAAGGGGTCCTGAGATGATGGTAGGCAAGATTGAGAACTCGGATCAGAGACCAGTCATCTTTCTGAGTAATGGGGCTACTTCTGTTCAGCCATGTGTCTTTACCTGAAATCAAACCACTTGCCTAAACCCCCAAAATGTGTAGAGAGTGTCCTCAGTATTGAAGCTGATGTAGTTATGTTCTAATTATTTTATAACACAATATTCTTTGGTGTTCTTCTGTCTTCCCACCCACCTAATTACTACAGCACCCACTTGAAGAGTTTGGTGGGCAGATAATGGGCCTGCATAGAGACCCAATAACTAATCCTCAGAACCTGGGACCAGTTGCCTTACATGGTGGATGGGATTAAGGTGAGGATCTCTCCATGGGAAGATTTTGCTGGAGTATCCAATCCAGATTTGGCATCAAGATCCTTATAAGCAGGTGGCAGGAGGAAGCACAGAGGACAGAAGATGTTATGCTATTGCTGGCTTTGAAGAGGGAGAAAAGAGACTGTTAGAACCAAGACAAGAGTGACGAATTCTTTTAAGTGCCTCCAGGAGGAACCCTGCCCAGTGGGCCCATAATAGTCCTGACCTCCAGAACAATGAGATAGTGTAATACATTTACATGGTTTTAAGCCTCTGTGTTTATGGCCATTTGGCACAGCAGCCATTACAGGAGTTGCCTGTGATTTCCTCTTTCCATTTTGTCTTCCCCTCTGTTTCGTTTCACTTGGGTCTCTGTTCACTTCTCCCCAGTGGGGTCACCCTGACCCACTGTCATTAAGAGGACTGCCCCAAGCTTGTGGCCAGTTTTCCAATCCATCTCTGTGCTGCACTCAATCTTGACAAACACAAATCGATTTATGAAAATACTGGCTTTAAAAAAAACACAACCTTTAATGTCTTATTACAGTTGAAATGAAATCGAATTGTCGTAATGTGAAGTGTCCAGCCCTGCCTGATCTGGTCCCTAGGGCTTCTCCAGCTTTATCTGTGTTCAGTAGTAGTTTTGAGTCAGACTGCCCAGAGGCATATTGTGTTTGAACCATTGAATCTTTGACCTTAAATAAACCTCTCTAGTCCTTAGTAGCATCTTCTATAAATACTTCCTTGGGTGTTTGAGATTAGCCAAGTTATTATGGATAAAATGACTGGCACTGTTCTAAACACAATACAAATTTTTACCATGCCATTCAAATATTTTCAGAAACATGGATGGATGGATGGATGGATGGGAACGGTGTTGCATGCAGTCACAGGTGCACTACACATTGCTTCTCTTTCTAGTGTGCAGAAATGAATTAATTTCACAGAAACACACCCAAAACTTAAATGAACACTGGGGGGCCACATTTGGCAACTAGATGTATAGAGACCAAGGGCTAAGATCTGGTCTACATTGAAGAAAGATGGGAAATCTGAAGAAATCTCTAGCAAATACTAAAGTTCAATTAAACATTAAGACTTAAAATGTTGGTGTTACCTAATACATACTGATCTAAACTGTTTCTATCTCACTTTCCTGAATTTCTCTCAATATTATGTTGACTTCTCACTGAAGAAGAGTATTAATGACTTTAATGTTTTTATTGAATGTCACAAACCTGCCAGACTAAAGGATTCCTTTCCAGGCATGGAGGGTGGCACAGGCCTGTAATCCGAGTACTTAAAAGGCTGAGGCAGGAGGATGGCTGTGAGTTCCAGGCCAGCCTGGGCTACATAGTGAGTTCAAAGGCAGCCTGGCCTACATAGAAAGACCTTGTCTCAAAACAAACAAACAATAAAAGCACTCCTTGTCTGTGATCATTACTTTTGAGTATAAAGTACATACCTAAAGAGAATGCATCCAGTGGAATTTATGTTTAAAAAATATCAGTTCCTTTGAAAATGAAGTTTTATTTCCCTTAGGATTGGTCTGTATTAGCAAGGAGCACTTTACGTGGAGGAGAGAACTTGTAGATTACAATACCCTGTGTGGGGGGGTCACTTGGGGGTCCTGGGCTCTCTGGTATTAGCTGTAGCTTTTTCCACTTTAACGCACTCCAGGGTGTTCATCTTGCTTTCACATGTACATACTTTATTTATTTATTTATATATTTATTGGTACATTTTAGGTATACAATACATTTACATTTATCATTGGGTGCTTGTACCTGTACATGATGTATCTTGGTTCTCATTTTTTCCCCCATTACCTGTGCGCCCTTCACCCCCACCACCCTTCCCTATTTACAAAGACTTTGTTCCCATTTTTTTTTTCTTTCTCATAATTTTTTCTTTCCCTTCTTCCCTTTCCCCTTCCCTCCCGCTTCCCCTACCACTTTGGACCTTTTTTCCTATTTCAAATTATCATTTATTTCTTTTAATCATTTTCATCCTTATTTACACTTTCAGTTTCTCATACTAGAGAATCTATTTGGTATTTACACGTGTGTCCTATTTATTTCACTTAAGAGTATGGCCTCAATATGCATCCATTTAGCTATGAATGACTCTAGTTTCTCGTTCTTTATGGCTGAGTAGTACTCCATTTTATAAAAAAAACCACATCTTCTTTATCTGGTTTCCAGTGATGGGCACTTGGGCTGTTTCCAAACTTTAGCTATTACAAACTGTGCCACTATAAACATAGGTGCACATATATTGCTTTGGTACAATTCTTTTAATTCTTTGGGGAAGATACCCAGTAGGGGAATAGATGGGTCAAATGGGACCTCTAGTCCTAGTTCTTTGAAGTATCTCCATACATGTACATACTTTAATAATTGAGTTAATTTGAATGAGAATTTCTTGAGAGCCCTTTTAAGTGGATTTTTAAAAATTTCATAATTCTTACTGACTTTAGCTACTATATAAAACTATTTTTTTGGGTTGTTTTATTTTGAGGTAGAATTTCATACAAGAAAGTTTACCCTTTTTAGTGTACTGTTGTATTTTGACAAACACACATAGTTGTGTAGTCACCACACAAATCAAGCTATAGAACAATTCTATCACCACTTCACACACCTTCCCACCCTGCTCCCGGTTACAAATTCTCTCAAGCTTCCTTGTAGTGGACTCTTTCTTCCATTTTCTGCCCCTGGTAAGAAATGATCTTGATCTTACCATCTTTATATATAGTTTGCCCTTTTTAGATGTCATATAAGCGGAATTATATTGACCCTGGTTTTCCTCACTTGAGAGTCAGACATGTTGTATGTATAATTAGTTTGTTCTTTTTCACTGTCAAGTAGTATTCCCTATTAGGAACATTTACTAATTTGCTTATCTGTATATGAAGCCACTAAACTGTTTTCCAAAGTGGATGTAGCAGATTGTAGTTCCACCAGCAATGTATGAGACTTCCACTTGCTGCACAACCTCAAGTATTTGGTATTGCTGGTTTTTCAGTTTTAAGCATTCTAATAGGTTTGTAATGGTATCTCATTATGATACTAATTTGTATTTCCCAACTGACTGGTGATATTTAATAACTTTATACAAGCTTGGCCACTACCTTCTCATTACTTATTCCTACATATTTTTATACATATACAATTTGTAAGTTTACCTATCTTTGTTGCTAGTATATAAAAATAGAATTGCTTTTTATATATTATCTTTGGATACTGAGCCCTATCTAAACTTACTGGTTATAGTAGTTGGTTTATTTACTGTGACTTCTATGTAAACCATCATGTCATCTGAAGAGATTTTACTGTCTTCCACAGTGTTACACTTTCTGACTTTTTTGTTTTATATTAATGGTGATGAACTACAGTCACATGTTGAAAATAAGTGGTGAGACAGGGCAGCCTTACCTTGTTCCTCATATTATAGGAAATGTGGTCAAAATGTTACTATTAAGTATGGTATTAGCTGTAGCTTTTTCACAGGTACCCCTTACCATATTGAGGGAATCCCTTTTAAATTTTATGACAGTTTTTATAAAAATGGGTGTTATATTTTAAGTACCCTTTCAGCACATGTTGGGATGATCATATAGTTTTAATCTGTTAATATGGTGAATTACAGTGATTGGTCTTTGAACCTTACATCCACCTGCATAGACCCAAATTGATAATGATGAAGTCTATTCTTGGAGTCAATTTGCTAATATTTTTTGGTTCTTATGTTGATATGGGGTATTAAGTTTGCAAATTAATTTTTAAAAATATTTATGACATGTTTGCTAATAGGATTATGCTTTTCTCAAGGTGAGAGTAAAAATGTTCCTTTTTTCATGTTACAATTTTTTGTTTTTGGGGGGGGTACCAGGGAATCGAACTCAGGACCTTGCACTTGCCAGGCAGGCGCAAAGCCACTGAGCTAAATCCCTGGCCCCTCCATGTTACAATTTTGTGCAAACAGTGTTCTTTTGTTTTTGATAAATTCGATCATTGAAACTATCTGGGCCTGGAATTATCTTTATGGGAAGTTGGTTGTACAAAATTCAATTTGCAAAGAAAAGCACTATGGAGATTTTTGTATTTTTAAGCCATTTCGGTTCTAAGATATCTTATTTTTTATATAGAAAATGCCTATTTCATTTAGGTTGGAAAATTGTCATAAAATTGTTCAGTATGTACAAACTGATGGTAGAAATGGGAGAAAGCTAAGAGGGATCTGAAGCTTTCCTTGCTTCAGGCGTTGGATCGAATCACTGCTCTGCGTCTGAATGTCAACTTGGAAAGCTAGTTCTGTGCTTCTAAAATAAACTCAACCCACCCCGAAAATACCTGCTAACAAAAAGCCACAGAAATACTATAGCATACACATTTTTCTAGGCAAATTCTAAGGTAAATGAAGTCATTTAAAGTTACAATTAAAGGACCATACGTTTAAGTCTTTTAACATCTGCACTGCCATGTTTTTGTCACCCTCTCCACTCCTGTTAAAGGACTAAAAACCACATTCTTCATATTGCAGCTGCGAAGCCTCTAGATCACAAAAACCACAGGTTAAGCACAAGTTGCACATTAACATAATAACCTGGTTATTTCCAGGATAGGAGAGACTCGGCTTAGAGTGCATGTCCTGAACACACTAGCCCAGGTCTGAAAGCTGTATCTTCATTCTGAGTAATGCATTTTTTAAATTCCTAGGGTAACCGTCTCTCCAGAGGATTACTGAGCGAGCGGGTAAAAGAAGATCCGCATTTCCGCCCAGCCCACAACCTGCTGCGACCATAGAGCGTGGTGACGTCACCGCGCACAGACTTCCGGAAGTGCGCGTGGGGTCGAGGCGGCGTGGGGTCGGTAAGCGGGCGCCTGCTTCCTGAACAGGTAGAGCGGACCTTCTCACTCTCACTCAACTACCGCTGCGACCGGGAGGGCCTCGGGCGGGGATCTTGGGGAGGCGGGAGGAAGTTATGGCTCTAGGCGGCCTCAGCCGTGGGCTAAAGAGCCTCAGCGTGGAGGTCGTGTACCCGCTCCGTCCCAGCTGGCCCCGGGCAGAGTCGCTTGGCTTTTGGAGCCCGGGCCCCCGGAGGGCTTTGCTCACAGAGCCCTTCTGCTGAGGCTGTCGGGGACGACATTGTGTTAGGGCCAGAGACCCAAGCCCACTTTTTTGAGCTGAGGCAGAAGTAGTAGGACAGTTTCCTTGGGAAACTCCTGTCCGTCGTACCTGCTTCCCGAAGAATGGAGTGGTTCTTCTCCAGTAGTTTACACAGGGTCAGACGAGAGAACTGCTGCCGCCCCACTGGGGCCCACCTTAGGAGAAGGACTCCTGCGTGATGAAATCTGAGAAGGCACGGGGTGGGGGTAGGGGGGAGTATGAGGAAGATGCAGGCAGCAAGTGCCCAGTCATAAGAAAGTAACTCCCCACTCCTCCAGTTCTGGGGAAATAATCTTGAGTCATGAAATTCGGGTGCAGGTGGGGAATTAGGGTAATATCCACACGTGACTATGACACCTTATGGAGGAGAATAACTGTTCCTGCAAATCTTCCAGTTAGTTTTCTGGAGCCCTATACCTGTCATGCTTTGACATCCCCTTCTCAGCACAGTATTAAAACAATGAAGTGTTATATGTGGATGTAACTGCCTCAGAAGAACAGAGCTGAGTGGCTGCAAGCACATTTTTAATGTTCTTTCACAAAATCGTTATTCAGTTTTTCATTTAGATAGAGGATATATTTCTTCTGGTTGATAAATAAAATAGTTTTTATTTTCCTTCACTTGTAAGTTTCATTGGTGGGCCTGCTTGTTTGCCTTGCAGATGAGTGGGTGATTTTCCAGATGCTGAGACACCTGTATCCTTGGCACAGGCCATTAGTGAGCTGTAGTTGGAGTAGACTTTGTCTTTTGAAGCGTTATCTATTTACAATGAAGTTGCAGTCTCCAGAGTTCCAGTCACTTTTCACGGAAGGATTGAAGAGTCTGACAGGTGAGAAATTAGGATGTATTTTCTTGCTTTGGAAGCCCGTGTATAAATGGAGAAGCACAGAGTTTACTTTGTTCAGCCTATATTCAGATATTTTTCGCTGTGCGAATGAAAAAAGGCTGACTTGTGGGTAAGTCATTCAGGGGGAAAGAAGTTGACTTCAATAAAAAGGATGGATTTTTTTGTATGCTATAGTTAAGTAGTGTACATGGCCATGCCAGTGGGATTAGTCCTACTAATGGGTAAGTACACTTTGTCTTACTGTGGAGGATGAAAACAAATGCTTAGGAATGTGAAATACTTTGCCTGTGTTTCCATAGCATACAGTGGGAGTGTTAGGTTTTAATTTTGTGTAGTTTGATATCAGAGCCCAGTTTGTAAACTTTGAGTCTCTATTTCTTTCCTGTGTATAATAGCTTCCTGAGAGAAATGAAGGCAAAAGGAAATTGGAATTACCTTCATTTGTGCACATATAAAATCTGGGAGGAAAACAGTAAATGGGTTAGCTGAGTGCCTCATTACAGCAGCTTCTACTTGCTGTTGCCACAGTTTTAATCATGTTGGTCGTTAAACTCAGCTACTGATGTTGAAAGAGCTCCACGGCCGCATTTCAAACCTATGGGTGCTTTAGTGTTGCTTTCAGAAATATGGTGAGCCCTGTGTATGTACAAATGACCTAAAAATAGTGCTTTGTAGCATTGGCTGTCCCTTATGTCTACTTGGGATGCTTTTAAAAAATACAGATACTGGAATTCTATGCCCAGCCTACTGAACTGGAAGCTCTGGGAGGGATAAGCACCTATAGTTTTTATAAAAATGCCGTAGATTAATTGTAATGAATTGAAGGTAGAGGAAACATTGCTTTAAATTAGTCCTAAGGCTTCTTTCATATTCTTGAATTAGATGATGACTTTTTACATTCATATAAGGTGAATGGTACAGAACATGTTGATCATTTTAAGTTCTTCAGGTGGTCTTGCATTAGTGAGGTTTTTTTTGTTTTTGTTTTTGTTTTGAGACAGGGATTCTCTATGTAGTTCGGGCTGGTCTTGAACTCACTAGGCTATGTAGCTCAGGCTGGCCTTGAACTTGTGTCAGTCTTCCTGTCTCACCCTCCTGCGTGTACCACCATGCCAGGTGAGAGGGCTTAAATGCAAGTTTGGTTGTGCTGTTGGCTTCACTGTAATTTAATCAGAGTGAAAACTCCTACAAACTCACTGTCCAATAGAAATGTATAAGCGGATATGTAATATAAACTATTCTCTTAACTGCACTGAAAAAAAAGAAATGGGTGAAATTAATTTTAGTAATTATTTTCAGTATATTTAATTCACTAAGATAATATTTTAATGTGAAGTTTGTATGAACATTATTGAGCTATTTTATATTCTTACAAGGCTTTCAAATGTAGCATATATTTAACATATATAGCACATCTCAATTCAGATTCACAATATTCCAAATGCTCAGTAACCACATATGGCCATTACTTACTGTTTCAACAGTGTAGTGTTGGGCTGATCGAACTTTTTCTTTTTATGCCTTTCTCACCATCCCGTTTTCCCATTGTCTGGGAAGAAACAGTAATTAACTCTTGGTGGTCTATCTTGATAATTCTGCATTTTTTGGAAAAAGGTTTTAGATACGGATGTATATAGTTTCTTGAACTTTTTTTTTTTGGCACTACGGATTAAACATAGGGGTTTCACACTGATCTACATCCCCAGCCCTTTTTTGTTTTTTATTTTGAGACAGGATCTTGCTAAGTCAATTAAGTTGCCAAGAATGGGCTTGAACTTGTGATCCTCTTGCCTAAGCCTTGAAGAATGCTGAGATTATACAGTCATGACTAGCATATTGGGCAAACATCCTTTAACAGTTGCATTTGACTTACTAAACCTGAGTTGAAAAGCTGAATTTTTTTTTCCACTCTGAGAAATAAAGTCCTAAAAAAGTGAGGATCAAAGTAGTATGATAACCTACAGGTGTTGTTGTTGCTTCCAGAGTCCTGTCCTTGAAAGATTAGCAAATGAGAATGTGGACATGTTCTAAAGTTCACCTTTTTTAGGATATGGGAGAAGTGGGAAGACTGGAATCTTGTACTGCAATACTTACAATTAGGAAATGAAATGATTGCTCCATTTCGTCTCTGTTAAGGTGTAAAGACTTGGATTCCCTGGTAAAATGTGATATCCTGTATAAAAAACTAAATGGATGAAAACACAGCCTTTGTGGCTATTATATGGCGATGCAGTTTAAAACCTGTTGTATCAGTTTTCAGATCTTAATAGCTGCTTTGCTATATATAAAATTAGTTTTCAGTTGCAAGGACAGTATACTATGGTCCTATGATATAGTATGTTTTTGTTTTAGGCAGTACTGGGGATTGGATCTAGGACCTAAGTAATGAGCTGCATCTCCAGCCTTTCTTTATTTTTAGTTTTGAATTCTGAGACAAGGTCTTGCTAAATTGCCCAGGTTGAGCTTGAACTTGCCATCCTCCTCCCTCAGCTTCCCAGAGTGCTGGGATTATAGGTGTATGCCACTATGCCTGGCTAGGGTTTTATAAGTTGTCAGGTTTTCTTAGAAATTTCATTTCATTTATCCTTCTGATTCAGAACAACCACATAATTCTAGTGGCATGTATGATTATTTCCACATTCTCAAGATGAAGCTGGAGTTCTGACTTACTGCCTGAGTTATAGCCAGGACTTTCTTGGTTCCTTGGCTGTGGCCAAGTGATCAAATCATTGCTGAGAGATAGTGCTCCGTGGTTTGTGACATCAGAAAGTCATTATATTAGCATTTGGGACAGTAGGAACAACTGGACTCTCTTGAAGTTTGGAATCCCTTGGGATAGATCCTGTGATTTTTGGCAGTAATCATCATGCCGTGTAGCAGTCTGCCCACTCGTACCTCCTGCTCACCATCCCTGTCCTGCTCCATCCACCAACTCTCAAGAGTTCAGAATTGTAAAGAGAAACTCACGGAAATTTGATTGAACATTTTAAAAAATAGGCAGTAATTAGAAAAGTTTTCTGACACAATGTATGATCTCTTGGATTGCTAACAAGAATAAAGTTAATAAATAAAGTTAATAACAAGAATAAAGTTAATAAAGTTCACCAAAGTTACTATTAGATTAGTATTAGATGTGGCTTTTGGAGTAGATAGATATGGTTCTGCAGTGGTGACATTTTGCATTTCTTGAGTTGTAAGCTTAAATTTACAATCAATTTGTATTATGTTTGGTGGTGTTTTCACAAAGTATGTATGTAGCTTAAAGTTTTTGGAATGAACACATACCTGTTTCTGTAAGATGGATGATGTCAGTAATTGAAGAATAAAGAACTCTTTAAGCTGATAGTCCCTACTGTGTTTTAGGTCAATATAAAAATATAACTTGTAATTTTTGTGACTTATTCCACAGATAAATATGCCCTTATAGGCCTTTTTCAATTGTATTAAAGTGTAATTTTAAAAAAAATGTTTGTTTATTTATTTTTGAGACAGGGTCTCACTATGGACAGGCTGCTCTTGAAATCACTATTTATCCCAGGCTGGCCTCAAACTCACTTTAATCCTCCTGCCTTAGCCTCTTGAGTGGTGGGATTACAGGCGTGTACCACCAGGCCCAGTTTACAAGTATAATTTTTAAAATTCCAAATTGTGTTTTTTGGAAATGGTTAAATAACCTAGGACTAATCAAAGTGATGAATAAATTACTTTGAATTCTATATCTTTTTTTCTGAAATTTGATTAACTTATTGAGTGACTTTGACCATACCAATTTTATTGTACTGAGGCCAGAATGAGAATCTTAAAAACATTGGTTATCTGTATAAATTCAGCTTTGACTTTCTGGTTTGTTTGTTTGTTTGTTTCTTTTTTTTTCTAAGAGATTATTAGATAGTATTTTAAAGGATGAATTTTTCTATAAAAATAGACATTTTCAATGAAGCCATTCTTTTGAATAGCTAGAATATCACAGTTCCATTCCATTGTGAGTCAAGTTGGTATAAAGATGAATGATAGATTTTTCTACTCTGAGAAGTGAGGAGACAAAGACATAATTTTATTATAATTGGTGTGTATAAAGATATACTAAGTTAGTAGCTTAAAGGAAATTTACTTCACATTCAGGAGAGGCTTCCTAAATTCATTTGCAATAGATAGGTGAGACTGACCTTGATCATTGTTTTTCCATCTCTATTAATGGATCATAAACTCAGTTTAGAGGTCATGACCAGTGTTTTTTTTAAAAAAGTGAGAGGAATAGAGACTAGGATAGAATAGATTCCTTGGTATGCAGAAAAGGTAGATTTCATGATACTTTGCCACATAGGCACACAAGAATTGGTAACTTCTGTGAGAAATATCTTAATGTCATAATGGATCAGAAGTTTGACAACAAGTCAGTGAGCTAGAGGAGTAAGTTGGGAAGCTCTTTCAGTGAAGTGACTCACATAAGAGGAACCATGGCCAGGTAAAGTGTGAGGCAAGGTGTAGTGAGAGATGAATATGGAAGTCTTTGTTGTGTAAAGAATTTAAATATTGTGAAATGAGTAGATAGGAAGAGCAGTTGTGTCCGTGTCTAAGGTAAGATTGGAGGCTGGGTTTAAGGGGAGTGGAGAGAACATGGACTATGGCCCTGGAAGTAGGGAGAGAAATGAGGACACTCTTGGGGGATTCTTGTATTAGTACAGGCATGGAGATTAGAAGACCTAGGCTAGGGGGAGATGGAGATAGAGTGGATTTTTGGCAGTCTTTAACTGTTTGGGTCATGGACCTCTCCGTGTTTTAAGAAACCTACGGGCTGATACCTACGATTTTTACTTTTTATATTGAAGGATCAGGACCTAATACTTAAGAACTTTTTAATAGGGACATATGGTTAGTGGGACTTGATTGGAAATGTGGCATTAAGGGAATATCAGTGCTTTAGCGTGAGATTACGGGGAAGGGAAGTTGTATCATGTGGTAGAGCTTGCTCTTAGTTAAGACAGCAAAGTAGAGGGAGGGAGCCTTTGTTATGTTTAAGCAATGGGGAGTCTACAGAGAGTAGGCCTGAACAGTTTGGGAAGAATAGGTGAAAAGAAATGTAGGGATAAAAGAGAACAAGTTGGGTAGGGATACAGGATTATGTATTGAGTTGGGATTTAGGATGCCAGAACTCTGATGTATGATGGGTTTGGCTATTTGCTCTGTTCATATCAGTGACCTCCAGCTAAAGAGCACCAGAGACTCATCAAGTTGGGTTGCTGCTCTTTGCGGGGAGTGAGAATGCTGACCATGGACTCTCCTGGAGAGGCTCAATAAGAGGGTTTTTTTTTTTTTTGGTACCGGGGATCAAACTCGGGTCTTTGTGCTTGCGCAGCAGGCAATGAAACCACTGAGCTAAATCCCCGGCCCAATAAGAGGGTTTTTGAAAATACCCCTTAGAAGATTTGGGCTTATTAGGTTGTTTTGGAGATTAAGATATGAGGGTTGAAGTGAATTAGATGGGGCTGCAGGAAGCAAAATTAATTGGGTTTGTCAGTTTTTTCTAGAAGGTAAGATCACAGTGCAAGACTAAAACTAATTGATAAGTAAGGAACAGTCAGTGTCATTATTATATATTACAGTGTGTGTCTTGGACAGTGTTCAGATTTTGTCTTTGTTCATGTGATTACACAGTTGTCTTGTTTTGTCTGATACTGATATGAGAAATTCTTTATGTCTGTAGAACACCAAGACCTAGTTGTGAGTGGTACATCAGCTCACAGCAACATCAAGGCTTAACCTGAAGTAGCAGGCCAGTTCTAGATGTCATTCTCAGCAGATGCCACATGGTGGTGTTTGGTCACATGGGTACAATTACAGTGGGATTTCTTTGTTTTGTTGTGTACCTGTGAGGAGTCAGCGATGTAGTTACTTATAGTGATTACTATGTTCATATGATTCTACCTAGAATGCAAATATGAATTCAATATATGCTGATAATTTTTTGAAGATTCTTAGCTGTAACATTTATCCTAAGTGGTATGATGGACTGATGTTTGATAGTTTTATTGTTTCATGTGTGAACATACTGCCTGTACATCTGTTCACAAAGAGAAATACAAGAATACTGTTTGCCTTAACTGTTTGGTAATAATGAAGATTTATGTTGATGACCTGGAAGCATTGTGGAGTTCTGAATTAACTTCTGAAGGAGACAAAAAAAATTCTGCAAGTTTTCTGCTTTCCATACTTATTAAAAGGCATTCTGTTGTAGGAAAGCTATTTCACATCTTGGATCTTGTTCTCATTTTCATATGAAAAAACACAGTTAAATAATCTGTACTGTCTCTAATATATGGTAAACCTTGCATTTGAATGATTTGTTAAAAAGAAACTTTGAAATAAAGTCTTCTTTCACTTCAGAATTATTCATCAAAGAGAATCATGAATTAAGAATAGCGGGAGGAGCAGTGAGGGATTTATTAAATGGGGTTAAGCCTCAAGATGTGGACTTTGCTACAACTGCCACCCCTACTCAAATGAAGGAGATGTTTCAGGCAGCAGGAATTCGGATGATAAACAACAGAGGAGAAAAGCATGGAACAATTACTGCCAGGGTGAGTAAAAAGTGATATTAATTAACTGCATTCCCATTTATGTAATTCTTAAAAATTTAGTATTTTTCTAGTTAAAAAGCAAATGACAAAAAGCCTAATAAAAATGTGTCCTCTACCATGTTAAATCCTGCATCCTTCCATGTTGTAGTGCTACTTTTAACTAAGTTTGATATTATCTCTTAACCACCACAGTTCCTAAGGGGAAAAAAAAAATCACCGTTGTAGGCTATGGTTTTTATTTTTAATTTCCAAGTTTTAAGGTGTTTTCCACTGACTTCCTATGTGGGAAAATGATTTAGCTTTCTTACCACACCCCTTCTTAAAACCAACTACTTAGCATTTCTCCTTTCCCTATCTTTCAAGCTTATTTATATAATAAGTTTTGGTTTAATCAGTACTCAGGGTATACTTACGACCACTGTTTATAGCTGCAATCTGGAGTAGTATTATGATGTGTGTTATTATGACTGCATGTTATTTTTTTCTGCAGTTAATAGCATTGCTCTTTGACATAGCTTTCCATGTACCACTCATTTATTCCTGTACTTGGTACCAGAACTGTAAACTTCCTCTCAAAGTATTTGAATGCTTAAACACATCGTTTGTGTATTGGGGGGCTTAGGGGGCACATTTCACCTGGCTTTGTCTTCCTGTGCCAGTATGGACTTTCCAAGACTTTCCTTGACCTCTCTTCTTTGTTATCTCTCCTGTTTCCTGGATCCTAGGTGTTGGTCTTACTTCATTTATACCTTCCTTTTAGTATTCCAAAACCTAAGGAGGCTTACCCACATGAAAATATTATTTTACCTTCATAGCGGTTTAATTTTGTTGACTACTGAATTTTAGGCTGGCAGTAATTTTCACCAGAAATTTTGTTTTCCAGCTCCCATGGCTACTTCTAGTGCAGGAGAAGTGGCTTCCCATTTCAATTTCTCCTTTATTGGAAACGGTTGTTTTTTCCTTTTGGAAATGTTTCTGATGTTTCCCTCTGGTGTTCTTAATTCCAAGGTGATTTGTCATGGTTGGACTTATTTTTTCATTTATTGTGCCAGGCTCTTAAATGGCCCTCTGTATTTCCCTTATAATTTCATGCCCTTGATTAAAATGTCTTTCTTTGGAAACTCCTATTACTTGGATATTGGTCTAGGGGGCTGATCTTCTAGTTTTATTTTTTCTTTTACTTTCTGTCCTTATATCTTCTATTTCACATTGCATGAGACTGTCTTGATTTCCCAACTATTCTATTATATTTGCAATTTTTTTGGCCTTTTACGTTTTCAGTAGGTCTTGAAAATGTCATTTAGTACTGGTATAGTCTAAGGAATTTGTTGGTAGGCAGTTTTGTTAAATTTTTCTTTAAATTTTTAAAAACTTGTCGACTGACAATATATACCATAAAACACATTGTACAGCTGTTCAGAAATTTCTATGCTAATTCTGCAAGTTTTTTCCATTAAATTTTTTTTCTTTTCTTTTTAAACTTCTTTTGGTTAGACACTAAGGGGCGAACACATCCATTAGTGTAAGCCACCAGAGAGTCAGGATTATCATCACTATGTTCACCTCTTTGTCCTTCTACACAGTTCTCAGGGGTAATGGAACATGTGGAGCAGTCACTCCTGTGATGGCTAGGCCTTCTTCTGGAATTCATCCTGAAGGTCCTGTTTGGGACTGTTTCATGGCTTTTTTTTTTTTTTTGGTACCAGGGATCGAACTCGGGACCTTGCATGGCTTTTTTAAATGTAAGTCAAAGGAGTACACTGTAATCATAAAAACTAGTGCAGTAAATTACTAAACTAGTAACACCCACTTATTATAATTGTGAAGTATATACTGTGCATTACTGTGTATATATACTTTTATATGACTGACAGTACCGTAGGTTTATTGTACTAGCACCACCACAAACATGAGCACGCAATGCAGTATGTTGTGATGACTCCGGTGCTGTGATGTCAGTGTCACTAGGTGGTGGGAACTTCTTAGATCCATTATGATCTGTGGCACCGTCATACACTCTGTTTTGTTGACTGAAATCTCCTTATGTGGCACTTAACTTATTTATTGTAAAGCTCTTCGTTCCTTTTTCAGATGTAGTAACTTACTTTCCTTAGGCTATTTATTATTGTTGTGACAGAGTCTTTGTTTCTCTTGAGTTTTTTCTGTCTTTCATATTAATTTTCCTTAAATGGGGGTATTCTTTGGCTTCCATTACATGTGGGTGGTGCTGTAATGTTAGGAAAATTACCCAAGGACTTCATTGTAATTTTGCATAGGAAGTGTTAGGTAGTTAGTTGTGAGACCTCCAGTGTTAGAATTACAAGTTTTCTTTAGGAGAAATCACAGAAGAATCTCCCAGTGTTATGCCAGGGGATAAGCATTTTGAAAACCAAGTGGGAAAAGGGATAGGGTTCATGTTGATTTTCACTTAATCTTGTTTTCATGTGCCTCAGTGTGCCCAGTTACTTTTCTTTTTAGAGAGTTAATTCCTGGTTTTCTGCCTGAGTCTGGGGGGCATTCTGGAGAGGGAGGTATAATTGTGTCTTATAAAGATTTTTAGGTTTCCCATTTCAAGCCCTTACTTTATATTTCCCTTCATAGTTACTTGTGTCTCACATTCTTGATTTCTACAATTCTATAGTGAGCATATAGGTATAAATTGTATCTAGAGAAGAATATGTACACAATTGAAAAGAATCTTACAGCACACCTCTTTAGTGATCATTCGTGGCTTTTAGCTGCTAATGAAGAGGTCTAAATTCTTGCTTAACACATAAAGCTTTTTGGTGAATATTACTAATAACCTGTTTGTTAGGTGCACTTTCTCTTTTACATATACTCTTCCTCCACTGTGCCTTTGGATCATCCTTTAATTTGGAAATATTTCCCCCATTTACATGTGCGGATGCTACTTGTTTTTAAGGCTTAGCTCATATGTCAGTTTGTGATGAAGCTACTCAGCTTTCCCAGCTAGAGGTGATTTCTCCTCCCAAAATACTGTACATGTAGCATTTTAACTTCATTGTTGAGTACTTGTAAAGAAGTTGCAGGATTTGTTACCTTTACCTGTACTTATTCCTGTCAGAACTCTCTTTAATGGCATATGTTTGCTAAGTTAATGTTCAGCTCTTTGCAAACTGGAGCTGTTAGAAACTGTTTCAGAGAACAGCTTGCTGTTAAATGGAAGGACAGGATACACTGCTTTGAGAGTTCTTTTCCACTACACTACTTGTCAGAGTTGCTGAGTCTGTCAAACTCATGTTAATCATGGTGGAATATTTTGAAAAGTAAATCATTCTTTGAATCTTTTTTGCGGGGGGGCGGGGGCTTCCGGGGGTTGAAGTTAGGACCTTGGGCTGGCCAGGCAAGTCTTCAGTCTTTGAATATTGTGGGTGTCTTTCTATTTCAATGTATTCATACAATATGTACACTAGTTATTTTTAAGAAGACTTAAGATGTAACTAATTTTCAGGGCTCATAGTACCATGCCTTCATGAAGAAAAACTTTCTTTTTCAATTTGTCCAGTGATACTCAAAGCTAATTTAAAAAAAACCTAATTGCAGCTTCATGAAGAAAATTTCGAAATTACTACACTACGGATTGATGTTACCACTGATGGAAGACATGCTGAAGTAGAATTCACAACTGACTGGCAGAAAGATGCTGAGCGCAGGGATCTGACTATAAATTCCATGTTTCTAGGTAAAATATGGAGATAATATTTTAATTTACTCTTATCAGACTTTCAAGTAGAATTTGCATTAATTTTTTCTAAGGGACAATGGAGCCAAAATCCCTTAGATAGTAATTGTGTTACTCAGAGACCATAACATGAAGGTATTGATGTTAGTTTCCTTTTTAGGGTTGTGAGGATTAAGGGAGGTAATCATGGTCATTGCTTAGAACAGTGCCTGCCACATTGACACATTCAGCCTGTTAGCTTATGAATTGCATCTAAACAGTACAAGAAAAATTACACTTGTGCACACACACACCCTGTCTTTTTTTTCCTCTGTATTATTTTCATGCACGCACTCTTTCCTGTCTTCAGGGATCCTGTCACACAGTGGTGAGCACCTTCAGCACCGTTTTATTGTTGAACCTACATACAACCTTAAATCCTTTTAGCACTGCATCTTACTAAACGTCAATAATCAAGTTGGCACGTAAGGTGAAACCTGTTTGGTAGCTTAGTTTCTATGTTAATGAAAGTGATGAAAGGTGAATTAGGTTAGTGTTTTGGTGCATGATTGATTTATTATTCATCTGTACTTTAAATTTCAGGTAAGCCTGAATTGGCTGGGGAAGATACTTCTAGGCTAAGGTGGGATCCCTTGCTGATTACATTAATAACAAATACCTTGTCTAGGGTACCTTAGGTTTTAGGTGCATTAGTAGGCACCTGATGTATTTTTATCTCATTTAACTGTCAGACAAACTTCATAAAGTGGTATCAAATAGCTTAGCTTAGATTGTAGAGCCATTTTGTGAGCCTAGATTTCCAAAGGCTATGCAATTTATGATCATAGGGGCCCAGATGGTGCATATTTTCCCTTAATTATATAATCAAAGCCCCAAATGTTTTTTTTTCTTTTTACATTATTCATGAAGTGCTCCAACTAATGCAGTGTATGGTCTTGTCTAGTTTAACTAAAGGAGAAAAACTAATATTTTTCAAAATAGTCTTTTCCAATATACTATTTTTTAAAATAGAAGCTCTTAAAAAAAAAAGATGGGGTCTCCCTATGCAGTTCAGGCTGGTCTTGAACTATGTAGCCCAGCCTGCAAATTTGTGGCAATCCTTTTGCTTCAGCCTTCCGAGTGATAGGATTACAGGTGTGTGTCACCACCCTACCTGGCTAAAGCCCTTCTTAGTACTAGAGTTTTCTAACTTTTACTGACCCCTTATAATGTGTCAGGCACTGTTTTAAGCACATTACATAAATTTAGTCTGTTTAACAACATTATAAAGCAGGTACTCTGTTTAACACAAGGTGACTTGCCCAGAATTATGCAGCTTGTGAACTGTGGAATCAGGATTCTAACTGAAGTGGCCTGGCTCCAGAGGTCATCCTCTTTACAAGATTTTGTTCCCTGCAACTCAACTTTGTTTCATACTGTTACTCAGTGTATCTTAAAAGAATGATACTCAGAGCAAAACAGAATACATACTGATGTGTGATGTTTACTAATCCTTACTTTTAGCTCATCTTTTTGACTAGGTTTGTTTCAAGCCTTACTGGACTAGGGATCAATAGTTCTGACACTTATGACTGGTTACTTTGTATCCAAGCCATTATTTTTGGTTTTGTCCTATTCCTATTTTTTTTCCTCCAGATTATGATCTTTACTGAAAAACATCTTAGTATTTCTAGGCTCACCAAGGACAATTAGGCATCCTGTATTAAGACAGGCCATACTGTTTCTTTGTATCATTTTTGTTTGCTTATTTTTTTTCTTTTACTTTTTTTTTTTGGTACCAGAGATCGAACTCAGGACCTTGCGTTTGGGAGGCAGGCGCAGTGCTGCTGAGCTGAATCTCTGGCCCTTTTTTTACTCTTTATTTGTTGTCTTTTTAAATCTGGAGACTTTTAAAATTCCCATATACTTCAAGGTGGTTCCCTTTTTAACACTTTCCCTGTGTACTGAATCAAAACAGCTTGGGTAAAGCAAAGCACTGTCTTAAGTTTGCAAATATGGTTGTTTTTGTGATAACCTAAGAGCATTCAGTTTTAAACTTAACTAAATTTCACAAGTAGTTATTTTTCACAAGTAGTGACAAGGCCTCCTGTCCTTGATGCGAGTGAAGCATCTCATGTGACCACTGACCTCACTTACCTGGATGAATGCTCTGAGACAGTGTTTCTTTTCTTTTCAGTCCCTGGAGTGACCAGCTGTCTCATTTTGCCCAGGACAGAAATTTTACCTAAGAGATGTGATTTTCAGAACTAGGTAAATGCCACACTAACCAGGATGAATTATTCATCCTAATACCTGAGATTTTAAAATGAATATATTAAAATTTTGTCCAGTTTTTTTTTTTTTAAACATAAGATAGTAAGTGGGGACTTTTTTGTTTGCAGCATTTGTGAACAACAGGTTCATATGGTTCAGAATTCACAAGTGATGCACTCTCTTGACTTATGATGAATAAGAGTGCCTCCTTCAGTATGCCGTGTTATCAAATGTCTGAATATTTGCCATTCTAAGGGAAATCTGAAAAATGGTTTTTCAAAAATTTGTTATTTCTTATGACCAAAGTTGAAAAATCTTCATTTTAAAAGAAGCTTTTGTATTTCCTTTATATATTTTAGCCTATTTTCTACTCAGGTGAAGTGTATAGGAGCTTTTTCATATGATGGAAATTAGCCATTTGTCTCTACTGATGATTTATATATACCTTTCCCTAGAATGCCACTTAGCTTATGATTTTCTGCATAATGGTGGCTTTTTGTCAACAAGCATAGTTTTTTTTTTAATGGAATTAAGTTTATTATTTCTGGTTTTCTGAGTCTGTATATTAATCTGAAAATCAGCTTGTGTGATGTCTTATCGTCCCTGCTCTACATACAGTTCTGGGACATATCTGTTTAGTTTATTCTTGGAGTCTTTGTTAGTTGGAGTCTGTATTAAGGTCACTGTAAAGACAGCCTTTTATTTTGGCTTCCATTTGGCAGTGACAAGTATGAATATTATTAGTATCTGTGTTTTAATTTTGTAATTTAACCATACTAAACTTTTGTCATAGTTCTAAGCTGACCTTTTGTGTCAGTCTTACTTGCTAATAATGATTCTTCTCCCCTTTGTTCTCATGAATAGGTTTTGATGGTACCTTATATGATTACTTTAATGGTTATGCAGATTTAAAAAGTAAGAAAGTTAAATTTGTTGGACATGCTAAACAGAGAATACAAGAAGATTATCTTCGAATTTTAAGATATTTCAGGTGAGATATTTTAAAAATAAAATATTTAGTATCAGCACAGTTTAGTCAGGTACATTACAGAGCAGGTAGGTAGGTGAGATCTCAGATGTCTCTTTCCAGTGATGATGTAGTAGCCTATGACTTATGAGATACAAAATACTGGTTCATGCTCCATTTTCATTCCCAAAATACGCACGTATTTATTCTATATGACCTTTTCTAGGAGAAAGTTTTAAATCATTTTTAAATATCATTTTCTTTTTATTAAATTGTATTTTCTCAGTGCCTATCACATACCAAGCATTGTGCTAAATGTAGTGATTGCAGTAATGAATGAAAGTCTGCCTTCATGTGGCTTAAAGTCTCAGATGTCATGGGATACCTCTGGTACCTCACTATAAAATTACATTAGTGAGAAGAAAATCCTGTTAAATGACCAGTAAATCAAAGTAGGTACTTCAAACTTGGATAGAGTTGGTAAATACGAAATGCATGTGATTTTATAGGTAGCAGTGATTTTTATTTTTTAAGATTTTAAGACATTTATTTTTTGATACATAACAATGTGTACATATGAGTCACCATAACAATGTTTTTGTACATGGATACACTGTAACATTTAAATCAGATTAAGCATCTGGTGCCTCAAACATCATTTCTTTATGGTGGAAACATTCAGACTCCTTGTAGCTTTTTGGAATCTACACTATTATCTCATATAATCACCATGCTCAGTAGTAGTACTCTAGAGCTTCTTAATCCTTACTATAACTTAGCATCCACTGATTAGCAGCACACCCCCCCCATTATCCCCTGCCTCAAGTAACTATCATTCTGTTCTCACCTTCTACAGATCAGCTTTTGTAGATTCCACCTTTGAGTGAGATCATTAAGTACCTATTTTTCCATACCTGGCTCATTTCACTTAAAATAATGATATCCATTTTTATCCACTTCATTCTTTTTTAATAGTTGAATAGTATTGCATTGTGTTTACCACATTTTCTTTATCCATTTCACTAGTTTAATAACACTTGTTTCCATTTCTTAGTTATTGTGAATAGTAAACATGGGAGTGCAGATGTCTCTTCAAGAGACTGATTTCCTTTGGCTATATATCCATAGTGGCATTGCTGGATCATGCAGCAGTTCTGTCTTTAGCTTTTTGAGACCTCCGTACTGTTTTCCATTTATATTTGGTAATTTACATTCCCATCAACAATGTAAAAGGGTTCTGATTTCCCTACAGCTTCTCCAGCATTTATTTCTTGTCTTTTTGGTAAAAGCCACTCTTACTAGCTTAAGGTGATACCTCATTCATTTCGTTAATAATTAATGATGTTTAGCATTTTCTTTTTTTGGCCATTTGTATGTCTTCTCTTGAGAAATATCTTAGAGCTGTTAATCACTTTTAAAATTAGGTTATTGTTTTTTCGCTGAGTTTCTGGAATTCCTTTTATGTTGTGGATATTAACCCCTGGTTAAATGGGTAGTTTGCAAATACTTACTCCCAATCCATAAACTGTTCTGTTGGTTTGTTTCTAGTAACATACATTTTTTCCACTGATATGACTACTCTTAGAATATTTCATAACAGATTTTGTCAATAAATCCCGTTTTTCTAAACTGGAGTATTTGCAAACAATCTTTCCTACAAATAACAGAATATAGATCAAGACTTATTTATACTTAGATTTTAATTTGGATCATGAGTGAATTTTAGGGCTATGAATGGTAGAGTGGATATACTGTAAGGCATCCAATTGGGACATTCTATGAAATATTCCACTGTTTGCAGCTACATTTATCATATTTAAAGTAAAGTTATTAATGTGTACTGACAGGCAAAATTTGAGGAATTAAGACCGTTCAGGTAGGATAATAAGTTTGGTTTTGGTGATGTTAAAAGATGCTCTGTTATACATCTACTGTAAATACCAATTCAGGAAATGCATTTCATGGCCACTCTGAGTATCTCAGTGACTAGAAGTGAAATTAAGGTCTGGGAGGTTCTAGTTCTTGCAGACCTTAAAAAGTTTACTTAAATAGTCTTGGGTTTCCTTATCTGGGAAAAATAAAAGAGGTAGAGAATTTACCACATAATTTCTAAGGTGTTTCTTACACCTTACTAATTCTTTTCTTTTTTCCCATTAGATAGATATATGTGGTAGTAGTAATAAAAATGAAAAACAGACTTTTGGTGGTAAGCTAAAATAGAAGCAATACACTTAGAGGGTTTTTGTCTTACAGGTTTTATGGCAGAATTGTAGACAAACCTGGTGACCATGATCCTGAGACACTGGAAGCAATTGCAGAAAATGCAAAAGGCTTGGGTGGAATATCAGGAGAGAGGATTTGGGTGGAACTGAAAAAAATCCTTACTGGTGACCATGTAAATCACTTGATTCATCTTATCTATGATCTTGATGTGGCTCCTTACATAGGTGAGAACAAGTTATAAAATTTTACTATTTGGCATTGAAACATCTAATTTAAAATTTCATAACAAAAAATGACTCATTTAGGTGAAGAATGGTGTAGTTTAAAAACTTCCAAGATGAATTAGGATAGGGCATCTTTGTCATGTAGGGAACAGCCTAGAATGGCCTCTGGAGTGAGAATAGGGTTTGGATAAGTCTGTGCCGCTTACAGCTTTGTGACTCGGGTGAGAATAGGGTTTGGATAAGTCTGTGCCGCTTACAGCTTTGTGACTGGGATTAGTTTCTGATCAAAAGAAGGAGACTGAAAATAACAGTACCTATCTAGTAGAATGCCTATCCATAGTCTTGAGTTAATAAAAGTACGTTTCTTAGAAGAGTGCCTTATACATAAAAATGAACTGATAAATATATTATTAATAGATAAATATTATATTATTAATATTTACAAAGAACAATAGGGTCATATGGTTTATCACACTTCAGATGAATATATTTCCAACTAAGATATAATTATGGAATAATAGGGTTGTGAATATTTTATTAAAGTTAGTTATATTATTTAAAGTTAGGAGTTGGATTATAAAAAGTATTGTTTGGTGCCAGGGATTTAGCTCAGTGGTTCCACCGCCTGCTTTGCAAGCGCAAGGTCCTGAGTTTGATCCCCGGCACCAAAAAAAAAAATTGTTTGTGACTGACAGGACCTCCTGGTATGACTTGCTGATGAATACAAGAACATTTTAGGACTCCTCTGGGGTTTTTGAGAGTGACAGTAGAGAAGGCTGGGAATCAGATTGGGCCAGTAATGAGTCCCAATAGCAGAGCATTTCTATACACTAAAACAGTGGTTGGTTTTAGGATACGTATTTTCTTCCTCAGTAAAAACATGCAAAAAAAATGCTTTTGTCCCCACAGGCTTACCTGCTAATGCAAGTTTAGAAGAATTTAACAAAGTCAGTAAAAATGTTGATAGTTTTTCACCAAAGCCAATGACTGTTTTGGCTTCATTATTCAAAGTACAGGATGACGTCACACAACTGGATTTGAGGTTGAAGATTTCAAAGGAAGAGAAAAACCTTGGCTTATTTATAGTTAAAAATAGGAAAGACTTAGTTAAAGCAACAGATAGTTCAGAACCACTGAAACCCTATCAAGACTTCATTATAGATGTAAGTATATACTACTAGGCTTGGACAGAAAATGACAATTTGTTAACATTTCAAAAAAAATCTACAATTTATTTTGTGAATTCTACTTACTTTAAATGAAAAATTTCACAGCAAGTATTTATCATTTACATTTCAGGATAAAACTGTGAGTGTTTGTCTGTTTGTTCCCTAGTCTAGGGAACCTGATATGACTGGGCGTGTGTGTGAACTACTGAAGTACCAAGGTGAGCACCGTCTCCTAAAGGAGATGGAGCAGTGGTCCATCCCCCCATTTCCTGTGAGTGGCCATGACATCAGGAAAGTGGGCATTTCTTCAGGAAAGGAAATCGGGGCTCTGTTACAACAACTGCGTGAACAGTGGAAAAGAAGTGGTTACCAAATGGAAAAAGAAGAACTTTTAAGTTACATAAAGAAGCCCTAAAACTGATCGAAGATCTGGCTATTAAAAAGTGGAAACTTTTGGTAAGACTGTCTGCACTCCCCACCCCATCCCTTTTAATGAGATTTAAGAAACTATAGCAGAATTGAAGCCATTGTGGAGGGTCTCTTTAGAAGAACTAAGTCTTATTTTGTAAAATCTTTTATACTTGTTTTGGAATACCTGCAACTGAGAAAAGTATAGTTGGCTTCCATCTATTTGTATGGAGTTTCTACATGAAAATTTTGTTTTTGCATAAGGCAGTACTAAGATTGATGTTTAAAAAGTGGTAACTGTCTTTAAAAAAAATGTTTAATGTTTGTACTGATTCCCTATGCTGTTTCAGTTCTTATATGAATTCCAAAAAGAGTCAACAGATTTTCATAAAACCATGTATAAAATATGAATAACAAGTATATTCTGCATGGCTGACATACTTTTCTGTTGTAAGATTCTTTACCTATACATGCAAAGCCTGGTAAAGTTATGGGATTAACCTGAGGATTAGTCTTGAGACTATTATTTTAATAAAATATTTCCTCTGGTTTTGGGAAGTAAATGTGTGCATGTGGTACTTGAGAGTATCAGGTGTCATATATAACTTATTTTCTTTAAAGTGAACATTAACTTCTTTTACTAATTAAAAGTATAGGTTCATCTACTGAAAGGATTTAGGGCATAAATATATAAACATATATAGTACAAAATATATTTCTTTTAGCTCCTACATTCTTCATTTCTGCATGGCCAGTTATAGCATATTTATACTTTATGGGCAAATATCCATTTTTGGACCTTGGTAAAACAGTATTTGAAAACATATAGTATTTCTGCTAAAGCTCAACCTAAGAAAAAGTGAGAGACTTGCAAGACAGGGAGCCTCAGAAACAACTGCACACAGGTCAGTAATTAAGTGCATTATAAAATGTACTGAAATATACAGACCCAATATGACAGTATTTCTATTTTATATAGGAACTATACAGATACAGCTATTTCAGAGATCTGCCTTTGTCATATTTATAAACAATATATACCCTTCAGGTTATAAAGGTAAAAGCAGTCATTTTTCTCACATGCATTTGGTTTAGATTTCAGTGTGCAGAGTTGCACTGTGCTCTGAAGAGGACTCCCTGGAATCTATTTTGAGTAAGAGTGTGGAGTAGAAAAAAATTACAATCTCAGACATATTGAATAAGGTGGGGCATATCCTATTCTTGAGTTGCTTTCCATTTATCCTTACATAAAAATTATATATGAAATTTACCAGTCTGTTTTTGGCCTCATACTATAGATTGATTAAACATACCTGATTAGTTTGAAGCATGTGAAGAGTGAAGGAATATCAAAACTAAAGTTAATTACACAAATGTTAAAGGACCCAATAAACCCTTGACTATATCGGCGAAGATGTAAGTGGCAAAGCAGTCTACCTAAAATATCTTTCTGTAAGCAAAGATGTTTAGTTTTGGCCTTAAAGTTTACTTACACATTTTCTTTAGTGTACATTAAATAACCCACAAAATACAGTATCCCCTCTGGCCTGTATGCAGTGAACATGTTTTGTTATTTCTGTCTGGCCCAGAATAGTTTAGGTTCAAATTATGAAGTTTAAAAAAAATGCTTTGTATGGAACGTAATAACTAGGGTTCTAGTTTAAACAAATATTTCAAATACACAAAGGAAATAAAAACTATTCAAAGGAAATAAAAACTATTTTTGGGCTCAAACTGCATATTTTAATCTTTAATATTTTGAAAATTTACAAATGACTGTCAGAGAAGCTTTAAAATAATGTACACCTTCTTGGCTCTTTCAAAAAGAAACATACTTGTGCTTGGCACCCCAGCTTTTAGAACTTCACCACTGACAGTACTGGGGCCAACATGTTCTCCCATAAAGAGGATCAGATGACTAATTTATTGTGCAGTGGACAATAACATCACTTTCAAAGATGTCCTTATGTCTTAAAAACGACCTGTTTCCAGACAGCACATTCCACAGGATCATGGCTCCAAGCTACTAAAGTATTTCTTAAACTCAGAATGATTTTTAGCTTCTCTGAAAGGGTACTTGAACTTAAAATCTTCAAATACAGTTGGACTAGGAAACTATAACCATCCATGTAAACGCTGCTGTTTACTTACACATGTATCAGAGGCAGTAATTTCCAAAGCAGACTGAGAATACCAGCCATCTCCATTTATAAGCAAAGTATTACTTTATCTGGGCTTATTTCATCTTCAGTGTCTGGGATTGTAGGTAACAGAGCAGATCGAGTTAAACCCCAGAATTTTTGAGGCGACATGTCTTTTTTGGTGGCTGTAAATTTCCATCCAATATGGCTTGCACAGATCCTACACTGGGCAACAGTCCAGGCATACCTACAAAATGACGGAAAGATGTCGACTAAGAAAACATTTTTATACTCAAACCTATCATATAAATCTGGTATAGAGAAAATTCTTTCAGTCAAATTTTTAAGAATTTATAAAGGATTTAAATAAACACTGTAGGACAAGATTTAATCTATACAGTTATTTAAAAGAAACATAAAAAAATATGGTACTGTATCAGCCTTTAAGTGATCATAAATCTGATTTACTCTTAAAGCTTATGTTTAAATTTTCCCCTCCACTACAAAGAGAGAAGAACCTTGTTAACTATATATTTCTTTATACAATTCATTCTAATTTTCACTGGCTTTTCCTTTGTTGTTTTGTACTGCAATTACCTGTAGAAATATGCACCTAATTTTCTTTGAGTTACATTAGATGAGGCTGGGGGGTGTTTCATGTAAGATTTTAGAACTACCATTATAAAATAAGACAACCCAGAAGTACAAATCCATGGCATTTTTGTTCTTAAGGTAAATAAACCAAATCATGTAACTGCAACAGTTTTCCGCTAGGTGCAATATCTCATGTTTAGCACTTAGTAGTAACAAATTAATTCTAGTTTTAGTCCATAAGGAGGGTGCCAAATAAGAGGACAATCCCAGTCAGAAGGCCCTTAGTCAGGACAACATCTTAGCCTGCCTTTTTCAAAGTAAAAAGTTACCCAGAATTTGGGACGAAAAGATAAATTAAGCTCTTGAGAGTCTCTTAACAGATTCTGAGTAGCTGTCCCTAGGGTCAGCACTGAGAACCTCTGGGCTAAAAATATGTAAATGAAAAGAAAAGCAAGATTCAATAGTATCTGTTTCTTGTTAGTCTGTCAGTGCTTGGGAAACCCATTCTAGTTTTATATTACCACAGGATATGATACACACATAATTTTACTGAGTCATAATTTTCACAACGAGGTGACAGAAAATTAAAATAACTGAGTTAACTAGTAATTTGAAGACAACTACCGTTCACTTTTGATCTCCCTATTATAGAAAAGATTTTAAAAGTTTAATTGATGTTTCTAGCTATTCATGAATTGGAGCATTTTAATAAAATTATGCATGTCACACCTATTTTTATCACAATTGTAGCTGGGTTTTTCTACTCAATTAAGGTCAAATAGAAACAAAACAAAGCAACACCACTGATATATTACCCAGGAAACCAACTGTGTTCTGTAGAAGGCCGGCTTGTCAGATTCAAGTTGCAAGCTTTATACACGGTAAGCGTCTCATGTACATATCCATGAGGGTTCACATAAGCAGCCATTGGCCCACATAAGGATAAACTAAAAGATCAACACAGAGGATAACATGAAAAGGAAAAAAGTCTAATTATAAATGGTTAGGTTCTTTTCCTAAAGTTAAGCAATGAGGTATCTTTTAGATAATCCCAGAACCTTAGTGTTAGAACAAAAGGTGGGCAGACATCCCAGTTTTGTTCAGCTAAATGTTTTCTATGATGACCCAAAGGGAAATAATACTAGTTTTAAAACTCGCAAGATTATGTGTAAAGTTCTTATCTGATCAGTTCCTTGCTTTGCCTTGAATTTATCATAAAATAATTCCCAAACACTGTTAGTATATGTTCAGAAGCATGCCCTACTTTAAGTGACAAATGACTGACTGAAATACAATGCCTCAGGCATTCAGATTAGGCTCTTAATCACTGAGAAAATACTCTAGTACTTAACATTTTCAACAAGAATTGGAAAAACAGATTGTGTAGTTGTTTTACTTTACCATGCTCCTTTATTATAAATATTTTCTTACATATCCATTGTTGCTGTGAATCCCCAAATTGGAAAACAGCCTTTCCTAAAACTGTTAATTACCCTTAATTTACTGAGTGGAGGGAAATATAGAAAGCTGAAATATAGACTTGGTTATAATTCTAAGGTAATTGGAGATATATTCAGAAGCATACTAAAAATAAAAGATCTTACCTGAATATTTCATTTTTGGTTGTTATTTCTGTTTCCTGACATTGTTTACAGCAAAGGGAAGTGCACTAAAATTTTTGAGAAAATTATCAGTGAAAAAAATTGACATTCATTATTATTTTATTACATAGCTCCTCAAGAAACTTCTCTAAGGCATACCTCCCTCTGAGTATCATACTTTCCTTCCCGCCACTGAAAAACTTAAGTTTTACTGGTAGAAGAAGAAAAACTTTAAATAAAACTAAATGACTTTCTAGAATTTTTAAGACAGTGAGTGATATTACCAGAAATGTTTCATAAATGTGTTCATATAAACAACTTGAGCTCCTACAGGCATGACCCCAACTGAAATGTTTAAATTTCACAGATGGAGTGGCCTTTCTAGGGGACTAGAAGTGTTTCAGATTTGGAGTTTTTTCAAATTTTGGAATATCTGCATAGACTTGTTGAATATTCCTAACCCCAAAATGGTACAAAACTTTTTAGCAATGTTCAATCTATACTGTAAAATATTTTTAATGTGAACCATGACAGATAAACAACTTTCTCTAATTCTGTGACTACATGATTGGATTCTTGAGGTTAGTGGTTCCAACAGGAAACTCTTCTAGCCTGATGAAACATGGGTATCACAAAAATATTTACTCACTTTATTCATAATGTCTAATTCACAGCGAAGTCGTTGAATAGCACTACCAATTTTAAGGAGTTGAATTCGTAAGACATCATCAATAGGAAGGCAAGCAGCTACTCTGTAAGAAAAATCTAAAAGACATGGTGGGATTTTCAGGTTTTAAACTTATGAATCAGATAAGCATTAGATAACGTCCTTTTGAAACAGAACAGTTCTAAAATATGAGCTTTCTTTTGATTAAAAATGGAATCAAGTTCATGTTCAAGTCACTTAAATGGCGGTAGAGATTATATGCTAGTAAGATAAGTCCTGGAGGTAGGGTCACTTGTAAAGATACTTTAAAAAATAGGGAAAACACCAGACTGTCTTTTTACCCTCAGGAATATTTTTGGAAAACCACTTAATTGCTATTTGATCTTCTTATGGAAAATTTGTCTAAAAGTATTCACAGAATATATATTTCAACAGCTTCAAGCAAAGGAAATGTGCTTTCTATAATTAAAATATTAACCAGTTTAATAAAAAATTTTGATTGTTATTAGCTAGAAGAGTTCTTAAATTTCTCAAGGCCAAAGGAAAGAAACTTTCATACCTATTGGGTTTGAAGGAAGAGAATCGTCTTTTAAATTTTCATCCCATTCATGTAGCTGTTTCTTAATTCTATCCATTAAGGTTTCCTTAAAACAAAATAGCTATTATAAAATTCAGACTTATTAACATTTACTGTTAGCTTTTCAGCTTTTTTAGTAAAATAATACAGTAATATGCTAATATGACTTCAAGTCATTGCTATATGAAATTTCAGACCCATGAGTCCAACCTTCAGTATTTTTCTTCTGCAAAAATAACCAAGCCCAGTCTCCTCTGCTACAGCCAAAGTTATCTCCTCATGCTTCCCTCGGCCCCAGTGTGTCTGTCCCAGGTGTACATACTTCACTCTGGAATGGTCTGTTCTAGGTTCCTGCTTGGAATGGCCTCTTCTCCCTTTCCCAAAGCCTCTTCATTATTTGGGAAGCATGCATGCCATTCATTTTCACTTATTCATTCATGCCCAGTGCAAAGGATTGTAGCTTTTGTACACTGAACTAGCATTTGCTATCTATACATACCTTATGTGGAACTTATTTACTACTTAATATTATCTTTTCACTGGTATTAAAAAAAAGTACCCTGGGGCCAGGGATTTAGCTCAGTGGTTCCGCCTGCCCTGCAGGCGCAAGGACCCGAGTTCAATCCCCAGTACCAAAAAGAAAAAAAAAAAAAAGTACTCTAGTATGGTCTGTGTCTGTATAATGGCTCAAAAACTACTGCAGGACAGAGATGAACCACAGTTTCCTTTAGAGGTGTATATATCATTAAGTACACAAAATCTACTTGTTTAGTTTTCCTAAGACTTCAAATCTGTGGGTGAAGTGATTTACTAAGAGAAATGAATAATATTGGTTGAATGCTAACCATATACCACATGTAACTGCTGGTACTATCCTCATTTTCTACAAATTTAAGAGAATTTGCCCCCAGACACAAAGTGATAGAAATTGAGCTTTGAACCCAATTTTTATCCAAAACCAAGTTTGTTTGTTTTTTTGTGGTACTGATAAGGGTTGAACCTAGACGCTCATGTATGCAAAGGAAGCACTCTTCCACTCTTCCATGCTGAGCTACATCCCCAGCCCTTAAAAACCAATATTCTTTAAACTATTCCAGCCACCTGCCTCTTAGTGTGTTTCATAAAACATGGTAGTGACTCATGTAAAATTCTGAGGAGCAACAGCTTTCATGGGTGCATTAGTAGACTAATTAGTGATCAGGAGACAAAATTTAATATTACTTAGAGAAAACTCTAACTTCACATAAGAATTTTCCGTGACCACTACTCAACCCAAAGGGATTTCAGATGTTTAACAAACATTAGAAAGTCTTACATCTTGCCTTTAGGGCATTAGAAACTAAAAAATATAAGAAACAAAGAATATCCACCGATACCTCTGACTCCTGCCTGCTAACCTTAGTCATGACATGGTTTACTACAGATAGCAGCTTAAGGTAAGTTACTTACAGCATCATATAGTGAATATAGCCAGCGAGGCCATGAAGTCAGATTTGCACAGTGAAACTTTCTCTGAAAACAGAAAAATAAAACTCACTTTAAAAACTCCTAGAAAAAAGATATTGAGAAGAGCAAGATTTGGGAAAAAGATTTTGTAGATACTCCCATAACAAATGATTATCAGTCACATTTGACAGTCATGCTTTTATATCCTCATTCCTAATGAAAAAGTTCAAATATTGTCATACATCATTTAACGAGAAAGATACATTGTGAGAGATGCATGATACAGTGTTACTGCACAGGCATCACAGTAAGTGCTTACACAGACTTGGATTGTGTAACTACACACCCAGGCTACACAGTATACCTTACTGCTGCTAGACTACATGCCTATAAAATATGGTACTGAATACTCTAGGCAACTGTAATACAATGGTTAATACTTGTGTATTTGGATTTTTTTGTTTTTGGTACCAGGGATTGAACTCGGGACCTTGTGCTTGTGAGACAGGTGGAAACACTGAGCTAAGTCCCCGGCCCAACACTTGTGTATTTGAACACAGAAAAAGTACAGTAAAAATATGATGTAAAAGAATAAATGGTGCACCTGTGGGGCTGGGGATTTAGCCCAGTGGTTCCACTGCCTGCCTTGCAAGCGCAAGGTCCCGAGTTCGATCCCCAGTACCAAAAAAAAAAAAAAAAAGGTGCACCTGGATAGGGCACTCACCAAGCACAGAGTGTGTTAGACTTGAATTTATTCTGAGTGGGTCAGGGAAAGAGTAGAGTTGAGGCTTTGCTTTTAAGCTTATTGTAATCTTTCTACTTTATAAACATTCTACAGTCAAAAAAATATTTTCTGTATGTCCTTATTCAATGAGCTTTGCTTTATCTACAAACTTAAGACACATCTAATCCCCAGCACTGCAAAAAATAAATAAAAATAAAAAACTAGGACACATGCATTAGCTTAGGTTGTTTATACCAACATATCCAACATGTAATGCATGACACTGACATTACCAAAGTTAGTAAGTGACAGAAACTGAATTTTTAGCTCCATTATAATCTTACAAGACCATCACTGTACATGTGGCCTGACCCCTCCATCATGGGGTGTGTGACTGAAAATTTCAAAGCTGAAGATGACTCCGTAAAACAAGGTTAACTTTTAGAAAAACGGAGACCTTCTATTATGAACATATTAGTTGCCTTTATCCTAGTAACTGTCTTTATGATAAAAAAAAATGGTGAATGCTGACAAAGTTTTAAAAATTTATTACAGTAAAAAGATACTCCCTCAGTCTCAATATCCTGCATTGAAATATTTACCTTTTATGATCATTTTGATTTTGAGGAAGAACTGGAAGCTGCACAACGCCGAATCTGGTGCAAAAGGTGGATGAGGACACTGTAATTTTTTATGAACCTATAGCATTCACTGTTATTTTTGATTATTCCTTGTAAAGATACTCATGAAAGAGGATTTCCAGAACTGCTTTATAAAGTGGCAAGAATAGTGGATAAATGTGTTCAAACCAAGGGGAAGGGGGAAAATGCAGTGTGTCTTTACTGAAAATTTTTTATTTGAACATTCACTATATGTGAATTGAAAAATCTAAGAATACATTTCAAAATGTCTTTGTGTAAATATGTGATAGAATCCCAAAAACAATACAGTGGTCATATATTTGCGACTTCATAATTAAGTCCTCCATTTCCTAAATCCCAGGGAAAAGAGAAAATCTATTATATATTTTTTCTCCAGCTTTTAATTTGGGATCCAAATAAAAGCTGCCTAAATCCATATAAAAATTAAATTATATAGCATTTCAGTATTTAATGGGAAGATTCAATGGTTATGTCAGTCCTCAACATACATCTTCAACATAATGCCAATGAGATTGAGATTTATAATCACAATTTAGTTTATTTGGAGGGATAAAAGCACAGAACTAAAACATTTTTGAAAGAAGAAAATGTTCTATAGGATACACACAAAAAAGATGACTAGAAGGACATACTGTACTGGTGCTGTTAATTGAAACAAACTGGATAACCTAAACATCAACATAATAGTTAAATACATTAGAACATTACCAGGGAATATTCTATGTATTGGATCAGTGTGCAAACAATAAACCTATAGAATATAAAAATGCTCACATTTTTCTCAAGAAACAAATTCTACGTGGTATAAATGTATAATTTCACTGTAGAAAAAAATACACACCACAACGCATGAAACGGAAAAATAAGTCAAAGAACAGACTTACCAGATCAGAATAAGAAAAGCAAGGTAATACTTAACAAAAATAAAGATCTTGTCTTTCATCTGTAAGACCAAGTGAATAGGTATGAAATAGAGAAATCACATACATGAAGAGAACTAAGAGAACCTGTTATGAACTGTGCAGGGCAAATGTAATGTGCTGTACAGTGCACACACTCTACTCGCCCCACAATCTTATTCTAGTTATATGACAAAGCTAGAATCTTAAAACCACAATGCTATTGTATTCCATGATGGTCAGAAATAAGAACTTCCATTGTCAAACAAAATGTCTTAAGTTGGAGTGTTTAGTTTGCGGTGTCTTTCAAGGGGACACAAAAATTGTTTCAAGTATTTTAGGAGTTGCTATGTAGCACAGACAGACCTGAACAGCCCAAGAGACTCAGCTTCAACGAATGGATCCTTTATTGAGGAAAAGTGGCTTATATTATGCTTTTCTGAAGCTACCCAAAAATTGCCTGGAATGGTCTCCTACTACTTCATGCTCACGTACTATTATAATAGTGTAAGCCTGATGAATCAGACCATAAAACATTTAAGGTACTTTCCAATAAAGTGTGCTTTAAGATCAAATATCTAATGCTAAATGCTAAAAATTACCATCACAGTCCAATTATAGAATTAAAAAACAATCCTACCCCAAACACACCTGATAATTACGAATATTTCAATAGGTTCAATGGCAACTTCTAGTAATGTGGCAAGAACTTCAGCTATCTTATAAAAATATGCTTACTAATATCTCCATTTTAAAGAGAGGCACAGAAGGATGGCACATGTTGTCTAAAGTCATGTTGTTAGTAAATGTGGTGTACTCAGGATTTGCATACAAGGAGTCTTATCATTCATTCAACATATTTTGAGTAGCTAACCTGGTCAGGCATTGTTTTTATGCATCTGTGATAATGCCAGTGAATAAAACAATAAAAGACTGAAATTACTGCCCCATGGGGCTTAGGTTTTAGAGTAACCCCTTACGGCTCTTTTGTCAAGCTTTGCATGACATGCATGGTCAGGGGCTTCCTCAAACTAGTTTTCCGTAGCATACATCATGTACATGTATGTGTGTGTGTACACACACACACACAGATTACATATATGTATATGTCTGTGTTTGTCTATCTGCCATTAGCACCCAAGCCTCAGGAGTAGTAAAGAGCTAACCATTTGGTTCCAGTTCTCATTTACCAAATTCCTACTTGGTAAATGAAAGAAGAAAACAAACTGAGGGGTTCCAGTTTAATTAAAATTATTTTATCATTTAAATTGCTGATACTAATAGCATTTAGCACAATAAATGAACACCTTTTGTCACATAAAGGAAATCAGTGATAATTCCGTTTATATTTAGCTTTTCACATTAGCCTTTCAATTTCCCTGTACTTCAAAGACCGATTTAATTGGAGTTTCACTTTTTTTGTGGGGTGGTGTTTTTCAACATTCTGTATTGTTGAAAGGCAAAGCTAAAGCTGTAGTTATGAGACTTAAAAACTGAACAAGTTGATACATTACCTCTAGGTAACAAATTCATTTTAAGGACCTTTATTCCTGGTTTCAGTAGTAAATCCTGTTCCCAAAGTGAGTATTTCTACACTAAAATAGCAGTGTCTAAACTTTTTGGCTAGTTTTACATTTTTCTTCATGTATAACTGTTTTTTATAAAATAAATCAGGTGCTGATGTTCTTGAAGAATGTCTATAAATTTTTAGAACTTATCATCAATATTAACCAGATAAAGACAGGAGACCTTTTATTGTGCCAAAAAGCTAAATGGGACTACTTGATTTTTAAATAGAGCTTCTAGGATCTGTCAGGATAATCCAGAAAAAGGATTTCAGGGGCTGGGGATTTAGCTCAGTGGTTCTGGCACCTGCCTCGCAAGTGTAAGGTCCGGAGTTCGATCCCCGGTACCAAAAAAACAAAACAAAACCAAAAAAAAAAAGAAAAAGGATTTCAGAGGTCTTTACTGTAAAAAGAAGGGAACTGAGATAAAAACTAGTTTGTTTACTGATGGTGGCAGAACACATGGTAATGACCCTGACCCAGTGCACTGCTCTTGATATAGTAACATGCCACATACTATTTTCTTTATAATTGGAATTTATATATGAATAAGTTATTTTTGGTTTCTGTTTGTCTTGATAATAGGTGCCAAATAAAATTACACTCTGGTACTATTGTACACTTTTTGTACTACAAAAGTAATGGTTTTACTATGAAAAATATATTTTAATGGGCATTTAATAAATTGAAGATTTTTTATACACTATTTATGAACTATCAGTGGTTCCAACAGCCTGGTAAATACAAAGACTGACAAACCAATAGAGTACAAATAAAAATTTAAAAACATTTGGTCTGTGATACAGGTGGCACCTCAAATAAATGGGTTAAGTATGGACTTTTCAGAAAATGATAATGGGACAATGATAAACTAGCTGGAAAAAAGTGGAAATACTACTAGGATAAACAAAACATGAATCCAAGCTTTATGTGAAATCATTACATATAAGAAAAAAAACAAAACAAGGGAACATTGCTTTCATGAGAAAGGAATAAAGAAGCACTTAAAAACAGAAGAAAAATAGAATAAAACAATAATAGAATAAAAATTTAAAAATAGAATAAAGAAGCACTTAAAAACTACATAAAAGTTTTATTTCATCTAGCATGTTTAGTTTTCACTAGCAAATGTTAAGTGTGTGGAAATACTTTTAAGATAAAATGAATACGTCTCATGAAGACTAAACTCCTAAATCCTTCAACTTTTCTGATGGGAAAACGTGTGTGGCAACCTCATCAGCTTAAGTTAGCTTAGAACTATGTAACCATCTACTTTAGCTCTGACCATCTAAACTACTACTGAGACAAGGAAACAGAAAACATATGCACTGCTCCTTTTTATGGTGGAATGTAGAAGTCAGATGTCAGTAAATTCTATAAAGAGGAGTGAAATGACTTCTAGATTTTGTCCAAAGAAAACACGTTTCATAGTCCAGCTCCACAGTCACCTAGTGTCCAGCTAAAAGTGCAGCATGCAAAACACTATTTGCAGAGGTCCCACCAGTGGTACCTGCCAGCCCTTTCCCTATACTAGATTCCAGGTTTTGTTGCACATGGAATAGCTCTAAAATAATCTCTTTAAAGCAGAAGAGTTTGTAGATCAGCTAGGTCCAAAAGAGACTATTAATTTTTCTTGACTTAATGATCTAAATCCCAAATTTCAGAGTTTAAAAGACCCTGAGAGTTTAAATAAAAGAACTCTAAACTATCTGAAAATATACTGTATATAGTAAAAAGGCATTTCCATTTCCTAAAACATTTAAGGACCTTCTTTATTCTTCAGCACCTTCTGTTTAGCCCTTGGTAACTTTTCAGATGAAAACGAGTAAGAAAATGTGTGAGAGTTTAGAATGGAGAAAAAAAGACAACAGGGAAAGGTCACAGAATCTGGCCCAAACAACATATGTACTTCCTTGGTGTTTGCAGGTCCGTCTTTCCTTTTTCCTGATGAGCCAGTGACAACAGCCCAGTTGCAAAAGGTAAATTCTGAATTCAATGTGATCATGCTGTGGTTCTTTCACCACAGAATGGGAAGATTTTAATCAGTAATTCACACAAAAATTAATAAGCTGCCTTATTTGCTTAAGTTCAGGCTTAAGAATATAAGATCCTATAAGCACAATGCAGAATTAGTTGTACAGTGTGCATTTTTCAAGTATAAACTGCAGGTGTTTGTAAGTTTGCAAAGAGGAATCATTTAAGATTTTTAAATAGTTAAATGTTTTAATAACTGATTCTGGTATGGAAGAACTACTATATAAATTTAAATATTAATACCTCCTAAAATATATAATTGAAATAAACATGTCAATAATGAGATGAAACATAGAGAATACCCTGATACAATTACTCTGCCATATAATTATTTCATTAGCAAACCAATGCCAGACACTATTAGGTAATACCTGATGTAAATTCTAAAACCACTGTTTGGAACCCACCTACTGAAGGAGCTCTCCTTGATGTACTTGATTTCAACAGTCATGTTTAAAATTATTATGGGAGTAAAATTTCTCACTGTTGTACTGTTAAAAGAAATAGGGGACAGCTGGTGCACACCTGTAATCCCAGCATTTGGGAGACTCAGGCAGAAAGATTGCTAGGAGTTTGAGGCCAGCCTGGGCTTAAGAGTGTTCAGCTACAGCCTGAACAATGTAGCGCCCCCCCCACCCCCAAGTAAGTATTTGTAACAGACTTGGGCAAGGTAGTATTTTACAGCTATACAAAACTTCCCTACAACTTAAGGCAGTATCAGCATTATAAAAACTTAAAACAATATTACCTTCCTGGTTGTTTGGGAGTCTCTACACAGTCTATACCTTTTATTAGAATCTTAGAAATACTCATAAAAAACACACCACCGTGTATGACTGATCAACTGAATTTACCAAGATGTCTACAGACTCTGTCAGTTATAAGCCTGACACCCATCAAAGCCCTGCCCTACACAAAGTTCTCTCTGAAAACTGAAGGAATTAAAGTACATTAAAAGTAGTAGCGTAATGAAGAGATTATGAGCCCTCCTTCATTAATAATATATGCTACTTTACATCAAATTAGAACCTTAAGCTTTTATATAAAAATTTAAAACCCTCACTACCTGACAAAGAGTAAGGCATGATTACCAAAGGATTTTCATCATTACAATGAAAACTGTCTTGGGATATTTTTAGAAGATAAATCTCAAAAAACAACTTAGTCTAAATTTATAAACTAGTAAACATTTCCTTTAGGCAGAAACCATTAATGTAACTATTTTACAATTAAAGGTATATATTACACATGAGTAGAAAGAGGCTTCAGCATTTTTTTTCCTAAAAGGAAGAATGACTTTGTAAAAATGATATAGCTGGGCTGGAGATTTAGCTCAGTGGTTCTGCCGCTTGCCTCGCAAGCACAAGGACCCGAGTTTGATCCCCGGTACCAAAAAAAAGGATATAGCTAAGAACTAATGGCTAAAATAGCAATACTTTCAAAGATCACCAAGTTTCAGGTCAATTTTTGTGGGTCAATAGAATGTTATAAAACAGACAAAAAACTTTTTCTAAAAAGTCCAGAAGGAAAACATTTTACTTTTCTACTTCCACTCTGTGCTACCTCAAACCAGCCCTCTCCCTTTAAAGTAATACATGTTTATGGCTCAATAGCCAAACACATGACCTGGTCACAATTTATTAGATTCCTAATTAAAAGTCATAAGCTATTAATATAAGACTGATAAGCATAACATTAAAAATACTTTGTAATTACTATGGCTGAAAACTGTTTTGTAAATAGCTGCCTCTGAAATTTTTAGATGCTCTAGCTATGATCAAATGCAGCTCAGTTCTGTCACAGAAGGTGTCTGGGGAATGAATCATGAGCCTTGTTTGTGATTCTTTCTTAAAACAGGAAAAAGCAACCTGTCAATTTTTTTGAAGATAAAAAATTAGTTTCTCACCTTCTGGTATTTCTGCCACCATTTACATGAATACTGGTCTTCCCATGAGACAGGTTTTGAAGGAAATATCTGGCATTTATTGAGGGATTCTAACTGAACTGCAGACATAGTTGAAGGCAATACACATTCAGGAAGAATTTGCACTTTAGCTTGCTGGATTCTAAAATAAAGAGAACCAAGGAGGGTGTTCATTTTTAAGATAAACTAACTCAAACTAAAGTTTCTAAACACTGAAGATAATTTTTAATATGATGACTTTCTAAGTTTTCTCTTAAACATTCACCAAATGCTAAAAAGATACAAGAAATTTTCAGAAAATTCATAAATCACACCAAAAATAATAGCAATGATAACATAGAGCACAGATTTCAATCTCATTGTGGAATTGAAAGGAAAATCTCGTATTTCAGGTAAACAGTCAGAAATGAAAGTTTTTTAAAAAATCATCATTCAACTTACTACTTGACATTTGTAAGTTAATTTTATAGACTAGTAGGACACCCCAAATCTCCCATCTGCCTTATTCCCTATGCTGCCTAAATCTTACACCCCTTCTTTCTCATATATTATCCTACCTGAGTAGGAGGCAGAGAAAGGAGAGGGGAAAAAAATCACAAACCTATTTATATGGGTAGTTAAAATAAGACTGGGGGATTACACGTAGGCTTTACTTCTATGCATTCCTTTTCTCATTCTCAAAACTTTAATTTGAATTTTTAAGCAAAGAATGCATTATATTTTTCTTTAAATTGTTTAAGCTGTTATGTTAATCATTTCCAAAATGCACCGAGAATATTCTAGTTGGAAATATCACAAGATAATGTAAATGAACTATCTTCCTATGAGGCATTGTTTCTCCTTTAGAGTACTTCTGAAATGAAGATTATGTAACATCTGTATGCTAAAATGAAACTTTTCAATTGACAAAATCAAATACATTAAAAGTCTCTGCTTCATTTTTAACTATGTTTAAACCCTCTAAAGCAGTCTTTCATAATAACCATTCTTGATCCACAAAGTTATGAAATTCTGATATTCATACTCATTAAATGAAAATAGCTGAGTGTGCTAAAATATCTAAGTTTAACCGAATAATATCAGAATCACTCTACTAACTTCATTTCCTTGCTGGGATGCTCATTAAAATACTCAGAAAGTTTATGTGTCCATGACTTCGGAAACCGTTTTTAAAAATTTACTATGTTGCAACTATGGCCAAATGTTCATGTATTCTTTTATCATTAATACAGTTCCTGATGGAGGAACTCAAATAGCTTTATAATTGTATTTTAAAATAAAAGTATATACCATCATTTGGAAGCTTTTAGAAATCTGATTCGTAAGGTTATCAATAATTGAATTAAGAATTATGCTTTACCAAGCCATTTAAGACTTTATTATGATAAAAGTATACATATTATGGAACCAGTGGCTTAGAAATCATGGTATTAATTCATCTGCTATTGGAACTGCCTGGTAGGATTAAGTAATGTCCATTTTCCCTGTTTAGCACGCCCAGAGGCTGCTGGGTACACATAGGTCTGGTTCTCTGAACAGCTGAGTTTTGTTTGTAACATAAGCTAGTTTTGTTTCTTCCCAACCTGTTTATGGCAGTTGTTTTGTGACAACAGCAACATATTTAATGTTAGAAAAACAAATGAAATATGAGTATAAAAATAAAACTGCCTCAATAAACATTAAAACCTCATTTCAAGTTAGGCACAGGGAACTCTAATAGTAGAAAAAGAATTGCACAAATATGGAAGGATTCTGCACTGAAATCACCTTTTTTAGAATCTCTAAAGACATGTTTGATATAAAATATATATGTATTATATATATATGAGAAACTTTTTTGACTAACAATTACTGATCTAAATTATGACAGGTAAGAGGGCTTCTCTCGTAATTCCAAGAGGATGTTAATCCTCTCTTCCTGGCTACATGCTAAGAAATAGGGATTTCTGAAGAGACCTACACTAATTCAGTTTTACCTTTTTTTAATTTTAAAAGAAAGTGCATGTATTCAGAAATGACAAAGAAGTAGACTTTTAGAAAAGTTACCAGGTGTGACTATACATTTATATAAGCATCATTTAGAAAAAAGACAAATGGATCTTATATACTTCCCTGGACTAGATTATCTCGTTTCTTTGATTTCATTGTTTTAAATGAAGGTGATTATAGGACTAGGGGGTAATGGAGCCGGAAAAATCTCATTCCACAGAAGCCCTTTAAATTGAGACCATTTTGGGGGAGGCCTTCATATAGCAGATCTCGAAATTATTAGAGATGATGTAACCTTTCCAGGTCTTTTTTGGCCCTAACAGTTTGACATTAATCTTCACTATAGTCAAACTATATTCCTTGACCTGTTTTTAGAGTTAGGGATCTACTGCCATCTGGTGTTCAAAAGAGTTTTTCTACAAGTATCATCAAAGTCAACATGCTTTGAGAAATAAGTTTTCTGAAGTCAGTTTCACTTCATGGTTTCTGGAAAATAGTTTTCAAAAATAATAAAAATTGTCTAAGTATGTGGATATGAAGTATTTTAAAAATGGCACCATTAGCAAAATCCAGCTATAAAACAATGGCTAATTATCACAATGCAGAGCCCTCAGGAGATCTTTCATACATTCATATGACATTTATGGTCCTAAAGGTAGAACATAAATAAGTCTTAGTTACTGTTCTCAAATAGATTATCTATTGAGAGAGGCAGACATGCAACCCTTTAAGGGCTTGTGGGAGCTTGCACAGTGAGTGTTCTGGGAAGTACTAGGAAACAACTAACTCCCCAAGAGTTCTGGCAACACAATCCAGTCTGTAGTCCAAAAGGTTGCCTGACTCATCTCCAGTATCATGAGTCAGTAACTTATGAATACCCACTGTTTACAAGCAGACAAGTTCCTGCTCTCATTCATCTGACATTCTTTTTAAAATTTTAACACAAACCCAAAAAACCTTGTATTCCGAAGATTACATGTGTAACACAGAGGTCTGATGAGATTTTTCACCCAATTCACTAGCAGGTGTAGAACCCAAGAATCTTTAAAAAACTTCACAAGTGATTTGTATATGCCAGAGAAGAGAACCAGTACTGTAAAAGGTAACATACAATGATAAGACAAATGCTTTGCTTAATTCACTTGCTGTAATTTTTTAAGAGGATAAAGGTGAACTGGATTTTTTTTTTTGGTACCGGGGATCAAACTCGGGTCCTTACGCTTGTGAGGCAGGTGACAGAACCACTGAGCTAAATCCCTGGCCCAACTGGATTTTTAAAAAATGTGGTATTCCTTGATTTTATGAAAAACTCTAACCACGTGAACCGAGTCAAAATGAGTAACTAAAAATAGGATACTCAGAGAACTTCTGCACTTTATAAGGTGCAAGAAATATTTTTTGTAAGAGACAAGAAATATTGATCACTTATGTTAGTTGTGTCTCTAGGTGATACAAAATTCACAATGCAGAGGGGCAGTAAATGTACAGCTCAGATGAAGCAGGTGGCAGATGTAAACAGCTTGACTGCCAACATCCCACCTGTCCTGGGGAGCACAGAGTGAGCTCATAAGCCACTGGCCTCCCCACCCTGTTATGCTTGGAAGGGAGATCTTCCATCCCAAAGAATCTATGCCCTCGATGACACTTCTTTTTGGCTTTACATTACTGTTCTAAAACCTGGGGGATATTGAAATCATCTGGAAATCATTTTTAAAAGATGCTGCAGCCTCACCCTAGGCTAAACCACTCTCTAGGGGATGGGAGACGAGGTTGGAACTCAAGTTTCTAGAGTTTTAAAACTTTTCTAGGTAATTGTGAAGCACATCAATATTAGAAACCACTAGACTACCTCATAAGAGAAAGAAAACAACTAATAAAAAAGTTAGAAAATATGATGGGTCAGTGAGATAGAAAAACTAAGAAAAAAGCATTTCACTATAAGATGTTCACAACACTTTAAGATACATGGCATTTCTTACCCATCTGACTGTGTTCTTAGCTCAAGAACTTTGAACCTTTGTCTTCCAACTGCTTTCACTTTCACTATTTCAATTCCAAAGTCTTGTTCTTCTCTGTAGGCATAGATCTCTGCTGTTGTGCCAAACTGTGCTTCCCTTTCCTGTATATTACTTCCAAGGTAAATTTTAAAAGGATAAAACTTTGAGCATTTTTAAATACACAAAGATGACAAAAGTGGTACACACAGAAAAACAATGTATAGCTATGAACGTTCACAGCAAAGCTAGTATAATTTTATTTTAAATATCATGTGGAAAATATACAAGGATGCTTCAAGATATATAGTTAGGACACTTTAGGGAAAGAACTGATTCTTAGTCACTAAAATCATTTAAGGACAAAATATTCCTTTAAAATATTCTCGAAACCAAACATCCCTTCACTTTGTTAAGCCATCATTTCTGCTGTTAATCAGCAGATCAGTACTGGGGTGGGAACTTCCTGTATTTGCTTCCTGCCTCTTCCACAGTTTTCCTCCAGGCACTACCAGATACTTTAAGTTCAGCTTCAGTTTACATAAGTTTGTGCTCATACAACTTAAGAATTTTGAGAAAGGAAAAGAAGAAATCACTGTTTTGGAAAATTAGTACTCATTGGAATACCAAAGCCCCATTTTTGTTTAAATAAAGACAGTTCTTAAAACTACAAATCTAGAAATGTTTTTCATCAAGTATTAACAAGTAAAAAATCTTCAAGAATCTGAAGGCCAAACTACAGATAAAGTCTGGCTTAGATGGTAATGAAAATAGATATTCCAATTTGTACTTGCAAACTTTCCCCCAACAAAATTCTTTATCTCACATTCTTAGCCCGTCTGTCCCATAATACAAAAATTATACCCCCATTTGGCTTCACCAGTGACCTCTGCTACAACTACACAGGAGAGCAAATGCATTCAGCAAATTTAGTATTTTACCTGTATGCAAGAACAGCAAAAGTTCTATCTTTCTGAATTAAATTCCGCACCATACTGACTTCTTGAGGGCTAAAAAGCCGTAGAGGTAGAGTCTGCCCAGGAATCAGGATCATCATCACCTGTGGCAGAACTGGAATCACCTGACAGCTGTCATCATCATGCAGAGTCCGGCCATGAAACTCTTCCATGTCAGCACCGAGGTACTATTCAGGAACACAGACACAGTGTCATGAGTGATGTACAATATAATGCCAACTCAATAAACTAGTCAAATCAGATTCAAAGATATACAGACAGGGTACAAATATTGATTTACATAATAAATCTGGTATATAAGCATCCTACTCCTAATTTTTAATCTAATATTTACTGTTCGAAGTAGAATTTTCCAATCTTTTATGAAGAATCACTCACAAATTCAAGAAACTTTTGTACATCAAAATATCTTATTTCAACCAATAAGAAACATCTCTATAGAAATATCTATAAAATATAGAAATATACTTAATAACTCAATTGCTAACAAAACTATAAGAAGAGTGACAACTCCTAAAAGAGTTTTACTAGAATATAGTATTAGACTGTTTAAAATTAAGGTTTTATGTTTACTTATCAGAACACAGCCCATATTCTCACCAGAACATAGTATTAAGCTACTAAAAAAAATTAATGTTGTATTTTATCCACCAGAAAACAGTCCATGATCTTAGCCACAATTTCTAGCATGAGGTAAAATCTAAAAATACTTAAATCAGTCTACTTCTTTTTAGAAACTTTAACATGTCTATTATATTATATCTATTACTAAATTACGTACTGTATGCGAGGTTGGCAGACTCGTGTCAAAATTTATGATGTTTGGCTTTTTGGCTTCTTTGCTGTCCTGGTCTTCAACTTCCATTTCATCATCTTCTTCACTCTCTGCTGCAGGAGTAGAATATTGTAAGAAAAAAACAATGAGATGCGTAAAAATGTTGTCCCCTTTGTAAGGCATCATTTCTTCTTGAGAAAAGAAATACCACTGCAAAACTGCAGTGGTATTTGTCACAACTAAGGAATCAATGTTGGTACATTACTATCAGCTAAATTCCACATTTTATTTCTATTAGTTTTTAGTGAATCTCCTTTTTCAGTAACAGGATCTCCTCCAGGATACCACATTACATTAAGCTGTCATGGCTCTTTACCTTCCTCTGGGCAGGTGTGGTTTCTCAGACTTACACTGGCTTTGAAGGTCTTCACCATTTTGAGGTGTGCTAGTCAGGTATTTTTTAGAGTATCCCCCAGTCAGTATTTGACTGAGGTAATTCTCCTGGTTAGACTGAGGTTATGTGTTTTGAGGAGGAAGAGGGCAGAAGTGAAGTGCCATTCTCATCACATCATATCAAGGGTACATCCTGTCAACCTGACTTAACCACTGCTGATCTTAACTTGCCTGCAGAAACATTTGTCAGGTTTCTCTACTGTAATCTTACTTTTCTCCTCTCACACTGCACTTTTTGAAAGCAAATCACTAAGTGCCACCCACACTTAAGAGCATTACAGGGGAAATACCTACATAAATTATTTGAAATTCTGTATGGGAAATTTTTTTCTTCTCCCTTGCCAGCAATTAATTTTGACACCCCCAAAAATGCATTCCACCAACTAAATCTAAACTTCCTTATCTGAAAAATGACAGGCTTGAATAAGACAATCTCTGAAGTTCTTTCAAATTCTTTAAATACTTCACACATGAGAAAAAATAAATAAGAAAAAGATCTGTTAATTAAAATTTAAAACAAGTATCATTACAACCCAGCAGGAAGAATTTCATACCATTTTTCCGGACACTACTTCTCTGGCTGTCACTATATTGTTGAAAAATGAAATGTTTGCAATCATTTTCATACAAATTTTGTCTTGTAATTTTAAATTTAAATATAAAGTTGAAGCATAAAATATATTTAAAGGAAAATCTTAGAAAGCTTTCTCCACACATTTTTCTTGTAAGATTATGAACACTAAGCACATGTATTTTAAAACCTAATGTCTAATGACAGGGATCAAAGTCAGAAAAAGCTACTATTGTACTAGAGATGGTGTTCTATTAAGTGGTAATCTGTCATTTTCATGCCAGCTATGAGTAATTTCCTATCCTAGACCAGTGATTCTGAGCCAGGGGTGATTTTGCCTCTCAGAGGATATTTGGAAATGTCTGAAGATATTCTGGTTTTAACAAGCAGGATAATGCTACTGGCAATCCAGAGTAGATGGCCAGGGATGCCGCTAAAAATTCTCACAAGAAAGAATTCGCCAGCATGACATATTGCAAAAACATCAAGGATAGAAAACACTGGCCTGGACTAAAGATAAAGACTTAATGAATCTCATTTCTCTAACATCCCTGTTCATGTATTTTTAAATTCCCCAAATAAACTTCTAAATACATAAAATGTCATTACAAATCAGTCATGTTTTTCTTTTGTGCAAATTATATTTAAATCAAACTGTCTTTTGTTAGGTTCCTGACAGAAAATACAAATGTTTTCTATATAGTAGGTGCCTAAGACTTCCTACTCTTTTGAATTTCTAGATATAAGGCTTTATCAAAGAGAACATAATTATCTCAATTTATATGCAAATAATCAATGGTCTAACACTTCCTACCTATTTTTCCCTAAGAATGTAGAAGTTTCACTAATAAATAACAGAAGAATCTAAATTGATGAGAAAAAAATCTGAATCTAATTATTTGAATTTACAGCTCTGAAAGCATAGCTTTCACTTGGCCTGGGGAGAGGCCTAATTTACTCCTCTAATACGGAAAGTTTAAAAAGTTAACTATTAGACCCCAAAGGCTAGAATTAATATTTTGGAAATTTAAACTTTCCTGCTTTCTACTCTCTAAATGACTTCCTTATATATAGTAGCTTTTCTCATAAATATGGCTAAAACTCACTTCCCTCACTCAGCTATGTTTATCTATTAATGTTTCATTTCACTCCATAGGTTCTTTGCATCTCAAATATTAATTTCCTTACCACTTAAAGAGGATTACTCTTCAACTTGTACCACACGGTTTTTTGGGTAACCCAATGATTCTCTACAAATAAAACTCATACATTCTTTGGTAAAACTATATATTTACAATTCCTCTGAGCCCCATCACTTCTGATTTTATATTTTTCCGAGAAAAAAACCATGCTGACTTTTCAGAGCTACCAGGGGGAAGTCTGATGACTCATCTCATGCAGGAGCACCATGAATGCCAACAGAACATCACTATCTTGTTTCTTCTATTCACCATTCTCCCTGAAACACTGGATTTGGCATTTACAGAGTGGGGCTGATGCCTCTGAAAAAACAGCTGAGCTCTTCTATTGAAGGCTGACACACTTACCTTTATGTCACTTCAGCTAGGATGGCTTCAGGGACAACCAGTGACTCTGATCACGGTTTATTTTTACAGAAAAGGTGCCTCATACACAGTGTGCATGCCCTCTGTCTCTTCCTCCTTCAACCCATGCTACTCCCAGTGGACAAATGAATACTTCAAGCAGCTTCCTTTAGGCAACAACATAAAATTTGAAAATGTTTCTTGGCAACCTACAGGAAAAGCCCCTAATCCCACAGCTAGAGATGGAAGATGCCTAGCAACTGAGACCCAACCTACCTCCTAAGGTGTATCTTCCACAACCCTATCCTGGGTTTGTTTTTGGATGTCTTCAAATTACCTCATAAGGCTTTTCCCAATCCCACAGAGTATCAGGCTGTGTATCATACCTCTTTCAATTCCCATAACACCTAACATGCTGCTTGGAATATAATGACAAGTTTCAGGTAACGGTTTGGCTGATACACTTCTTGGAAAATACGTCTTGTCCATAGCAGTCTATAAACAGCTTGTACAATTATTCCATGCCTAAATAAGGCTGAGGTCTTTCCAAAACATGCTGGAAATAGAACATTGAATTTTACACCACGCTTGGTTGTACAGTGGACCCACAAGTTACGACCGGCCTGACATACAAACTTGGGTTAATTAGGTTAATGGAAGATTCATCTGCCTCCTGTTATCTACATCATGTACCCAGGTAAACATCCAGGTCTCAGCTGTATTGACTTACAACCAACTTGAGTTACAATCAGCCCTTGGGAACCAACTGAGTTTGTAAGTCAAGGGTCCACTGTACCTTAAAACTAATCGTATTCCTACATGCCTGAGAGACACCAAATACTGCCTTCTCAGAGAAATGTGTAAGAGACGCCCGCGTGGGAGTTCCGGCTGCAACTGTGTGACCTTGGGCTAGTCACTGAACTAATCTGCATTTCTCGCCTGCAACTAGCGATCCAAATAGTAATCTGGAGAGGTGAAAATGCAGAAATGCCTTCAGTATCAGAACTTAATGAAGGGCGCTTAGCGGTGTTAAGTAGTTAATACATATCAGCTGTGACTCTTATTAACAAAGACGCACAGGAAAAGTTAACGCTTGTTAACCTCACCCATTCCCAGTCATCCCCGAGCTCCAAAGAGCTTAATAGGAACTAAGCCCAGGACACAGAGGAGGAAGAGGACAGCGGGGGCCCTGCCCTCGGAAACGACCGCACCCCGGCAGAAACACTCTCTCCCCAGCCGAGCGCTGCCGAGCAAGGGAGAAAAGCACCGGGACTGGGTCGCTGGTCGAGGCCGACGGAATGCCCCCCCCAGCTGTGACTCGCACCTTATCCGCCTTCCCGGCCCCACCGTGAAGCGAGCGGGTCCGGGTCTCGCCCCCCACCCGCTGCCGGGGACTTGCCCCGGGAGGTTACCAGGCAGGAGCGGCAGGTGGTTGCCCATATTGTGCGCAGCGTCCCGAGGATCTTCCTCGTCAGCCATGTCTGTTTACCCGCAATGGAAGCTGGGACAGGGCGGTGCCGGGAAAGCCAGGGGAGGGTCCACGCCGTGCCGCACCCACAACGCACCGGGGCCACAGCGCCCTCTGGCGGCTCCAGCGAAGCAGACAGCGGCTCCAGCCAAGGTCTGGAAGCTATGCCTGTGGCTTCGCCAGGAACAGAATGCCCACCATGGTGATCCACCAAGTAGTGCCCGCTTTACACGATAAAGTCATCACCTTCCTCCAATCCAGGACTCGACTTCTAAATCAAGAGATTTATATATGTCGGAAAACGGACTCAGTCTTTAGCGTTTACCTCATTCGTAGACAAAGAGAGTGGGGAGCAAAGAGAAACCTGTTTATACAGCATTGGCTTCAATACTTAATAAATAAATATGTAAATGAAGCGTGAGGAAATGCATGTTACCGCACGGGTAGTTGGATTATAGCTGATTGCCCTCTTCCCCTAATTTCAGTAGTTTTCACATATAATCCAAAATTAGCATGTATTAATCAGAATCAAGTATTTGAAGTGATAATTACATAGATTAGAAAGAGGCCTATGGCTGGTAAATATAATTGTCAGAATGTAAAATAGACTACTTATTATGAGTTAGACTAAACAAAAACCATTATATGGCAAACAACAAAAAACAAAACCCCAAAGCATTAAAATATGCAAAAAAAAAAAAAAAAAAGAGAATTCTGTTTTTGTGGTGGGATTGTGACTTGCAAGTCTTTTGGAGGGTTGAGAAGAGTTGTTTCAATATCATGTTTTCAGGTACGAAAGAAAATGGAAAACTCCCTATTGATGTAAGACATCTAAAGGTGGAAGAAAAGAAAAAAACAGCAATGAGAAAAGTCTGTCTTAAAATATTATTGCAAAAAATTACTTACTAAAAAAAATCCCTTACTAAAAGCTCCAAGCTGAAAACATCCTTGTGACAGAGGTTCTTGTCAATTTGTCTCATTCTGCCTTCTGTCTCTCAATCACTCTGTGGCCCTGGCTAACTCACTTATATCTTCAGGCCTCAGTTTACCCAATTGTGACATAAGAATAGAGCAAAGAGTGTCCCAGATTTGTTCTAGATAATGAAGTTGACAGCAATATTAATCACGGTATTATTTTTTGAATACGGTGATAATTATATGTATTTCTGTGATAAGTTCATGGAATTAAAATGATCATTCTAATCATTATAGTCAGTTAAAGAGTTTTTCTAGAATGCCAGAGAGGATATGCATCATAGGCCAATGAAGAAAAATGTATGTGTGATGTGTGTGTGTCTGTGTGTGTGTGTGAGACAAAGCGGAAGGAGCTAACCCAAATGCATGCATATGAACGGATACTTTCCCTAAACCATTATCAGTCTCCCTATGTTTTGTAGAATTTCAATAAACTGTGCTTACCTGCAGACTTTTCTTTAGACAGCAAGCATCTATCCTCTAAATACAGAGGCACTTACTTTCTTGTGGTCCTTCCCAGAGATGACATCAGAATTGTCATCTGGACCCTGGGTCAAACAAGAACTCTGGACAAGAAAGGACAGCTGGAAGCCTGTGGAGTCAGCAGATACAGCCAGAAGAGCACTAGCTCATGCTCTAGTCTTCTGTGCATTGCTCTAGGATATGTTTTGCTCTCCATTCCCCTCCTCTTTCTCCCTCTCATTCACATTCACCTTCATTTTATCCCTCAATTTTGTTTCTACTCAGTCATCTATAGCTACATCTTTCAATAGGGATTGCAGCAGATGATCATTGATCAAAAAGAAAGAAGCAAGCAGGTTTCTTGACTTAAACTCTGGCTATAAAAACCAAAATGGAAAAACATAATCATTTACATTTGATTTTTAATGCAGGGGACTCTCAGTTACAATTGGCCTGACATACGAACAACTTGGGTTAATTAGGTTAGGGAAAGATTCATCTGCCTTTTGTTATCTATAGCGTGTACCCAGGTAAACATCCAGATCTCAGCTGTATTGTTACAGCCTTGGGAACTGGTTGAGTTCATAAGTCAAGGGTCCACTCTATACCAATTTTATCCTGAAATGGAGTATCACATAGTTTCTCAACTTTCTCCTTTCTTGCATGAAATGATAAGGAGCTGTACAAACCAGGGGGAAAAGAAATATATATGTCCATAGATCACTATCTTACAGCTCAAGAATCAACTTTAATATACATAAGGAGGACTACTATCTAGAATATATAAAGAACTTAAAAAAATCAACCCCCCCCATTTAAAGACACAATTCAAAAATAGGCATCTGAAATGAACAGACATTTCTCAAGGAAGTAAAAGCAGCAAATAAACATATGAAAAATGTTCAACATTACTGGTTATTTGAGAGATGCAGATGAAACAACACTGAGATTTCACCTCACTCCAGAAAGAATGGCTGCTATTAAGAAATCAACCAATAGCAAATGCTGGCGGGGTTGTGGGGAGAAAGGAACCCTTCTCCATTGTTGGTGGGAGTGCAGACTGGTGCAACCACTGTGGAAATCAATATGGAGATACCTCAAAGAACTAGAACTAGAGGTTCCACTTGACCCAGCTATTCCCCTGCTGGATATCTTCCCCAAAGAATTAAAAGAATCATATACCACAGCGATATATGTGCACCCATGTCTATAGTAGCACAGTTCGTAATAGCTAAAGCTTGGAAACAGCCCAAGTGCCCATCAACTGGAAACTGGATAAAGAAAATGTGTGTGTGTGTGTTTTTAATAAAATGGAGAACTACTCAGCCATAAAGAATGAGAAACTAGAGTCATTTAAAGCTAAATGGATACACATTGAGGCCATACTCTTAAGTGAAATAAATAGGACACGTATGTGTAAATACCAAATAGTTTCTCTGGTGTGAGAAACTGAAAGTGTAAATAAGGATCAAAATGTATAATAGATAATGTAAAACAGGAAGAAAATGTCTAAAGAGGAAGGTGAAGTGGGAGGAGTAGGGGAAAGGAAGGAAGGGAAAGGAAAAAATATGAGAAAATGAAAAAATGGAAGCAAAGTCTTTGAAAATAGGGTGGGGTGGAGGGGGTAAAGGGAGGGCAGAGGAATAGAGAAAAAATAAGAACCAAGATATAGCATGTAAAGGTACAAATTTCCAATGATAAATGTCATCATTGTATACCTAAAATGTACCAATAAACTTAATGAATAAAATTTTTAAAAATATATATATAATTAAGACTTCCATGGGATGAGATAAAATGGGAATGAAAAAGTCATTGCTCTTTCAATTTCTGGCTTCTACTCAATATTCGAAACACGGCATAGGCATATAAGAATGAGACATTTCAGCCTCTCTTCTTTTATTTTTTTTCTCTCTGTGTATACATTTAAAAAGATCTGGTCTGAGGATGCGGTTCAGTGGTAGAGTACCTGCACAAGGCCCTGGGTTTGATCCCCAGCACCACGCACGCGCGCGCGCACACCCCCCCCCCCCAGGAATGCTACCACTAAATGGTTAATTATATTTTGCCTAGATTATTACATTATTCTCAATGCTGATGTCTCAATTTCTACCTTTAACCTGATAGTTCATTTTCAACCAGTTTGCCTGCATGATCCTCTAAAAGCCTGAGTCAGACCATGTGAGCACCCCGCATAATACCTTTCCTTGGCTCTCCATTTCATTGTAAGCCACTTCCTTGCAGTGACCCTTATAAGGCAGAGTGGACCCCCAAATCCTCTCTGAGATCACTTCACTACTGCTCTTTGGCCCTTACTCTCCACCACCAACCCTAGTCTTCATGTTATGCCACCACCACACAAGGGCATTCTCACCTCAGGGCCTTTGCACTTGCTTTTCTTCTTCCACACTAATGTGTGACTTGCCCTCTTAAACTTTCCAGGCCTTTGATCAAGGGTCCCATCCTTAGTCCTTCCCAAACTATCCAATATCAAATTGCGACCCCATTCCCAGTCTCACCACTCTTTAGTGTCCTTATCCTGCTCCATGTTCCTTTGAAGCCTTTATGAGCTTCTAAATTACTATGATGCTTACTCAAGTAGGCTGAGCCCCAACCCCTCATGAATGCAAGATCTGGTTGAGGGTCAGAGATCTCTGCTCTCGAGAATAGGTTCTGACGTTTAATGGATCCTCAAAACATGTTTCTTAAATGAATAGATGAAAGGTATGGTTGCAGCAGACACTGTTAGATTCTTCTCTATCCAACTGTGATTCTTTTTTCTTCCTTGCTAAGAACTCTGGTTTTGTTTGGGGAAACAGTGTGTTCAGACTGTGGGATCATTTTGCCCCAAGCCCATGGCCAGCCCACATCCCTTCCCCTAAAGTGAAGGTGTCATGTGACCCAGTTCAGGCTGATGACACAGAAGATGTCAGCTTGATAGTGGTGGAGAATGATGATAGGGGAAGGACAATTTGGGGACAAGATGTTCCTTGATGATAAAAGGCAAAGATTTCATTGTGACCTATTTCCTTGTTGGTATGAAGATGAAGCCGTGTACTATTTGAATGGATAAAACTGGCCAAACTACTGGAAATAGCCAAAACAGTTTCTAAAAGAAATAATGGAATTTATTAAAAAAATGCTAGACTGACTTGTAAGCATAATTGATTATTTCTTTTTGAATAGATGAATTCATTGATTTGGAAACTATATAAATTTTCCAATTCTTTCTTTTTTAGGGCTAAAGTCATGTCAGTGAATGATACACTCATATGCTGTCCCAAGAGCCCTCTCCTCTTTGAGTGTGACAGCATTCTCTACCACTCCATGAGACAGAGCTCAAGAACTAATGACCTCCAGAGTTACAAAAATATATGATGGCCTTTGTGGTATTTTGAGTTTTTGAGTTAAAGTATTGCCAACATTTTGAAATTGAAGAGTATGCTACAAATATTTATTTTTAGCTTCCTTTTAAAAAATACTAAGATTTGGCAAACATGGGTAAGATTCGTGCACAGGAATAATTGTCCTGAAAGGTTGTGTGGATGGAGCACTTAAATGGGCAGCCCCTGATGGTCAGATCCCCCCAACCCATCAGTG